GGGCCGCATGGCTCGGGCGGCACACCTCGGGCGGCATGGCTCAGGTGGCATGTCTCGGGCGGCACGGCTCGGGTGGCATGCCCCGGGCGGCATGGCTCGGGCCGGATGGCTTGGGCAGCATGGCTCAGACGGCATGCCTCGGGCGGAATGCCTCGGCCGGTGCGGCATAGCTCGGGCGTAGACATGGGCAAAAAAAATCGCATCGCATCGCATTGAATCGCGTTCTTGCGATTTTTGGAAATCGCACGATGCGATTTAAAGTTAATCGCCCGATTTCTAAAATTGCATTTTATATCACGGTACAAAACGCGATAGAAACGATGTGCGATTAACAAAACAAACCAAAAGAAAAGAAAAGAAAAGAAAAACGCACGCGATGTCGAAATTCATCGCGCTGCGAAATCTCGCCAGCAAGGGGGGGGGGAACGCCAAGCCCAAGAAAGCACCAAAGGGGTTCTCTTTTGGAGAAGAGCCAAGGGATTCTCGTTGGCAATTCGTTTAGGGCCTAACACACACACCATCCATGCTCCCAACCCCACCATTCTCCACGGTGTAGGGTGGACGTACACCCATTTCGAAGTAGACTTTGCCGTGCCGCAATAGGGATTATGTGAGAGAATTGAAGAAGTTGTTTCAGTAATAGAATCAGGAGCATACATAGGAAAGTTGGGAAGGAAGGGAAGCTAGCAAGAGAAGATGAACAGTGCCACATGCAGTTGGGTAGGAACAGTACCCAACCACCATGAGAGCCACTTGCGTGGTCTCAATATTGTGGTCTTGGTGCTCGGGGGCTCCAACCACTCCAGGGTTGGATTAATAACCCTTGCACTTTGATGTGTACACCACAGGTTGGTGTACACCTCGCTAATATACTAGTCGAGCATGTCACAATAGATATATATAAGTTAACATTATGCGCACAAGGCGTTTTGCCCTTTTTTTGGGACTTTTTGGGAAAGATTTTATTCTGGGCAGGAAAGCGATGCGATTTAAAATCGCAACGCGCTATTTAAATAATCATCGCGCACGATTTTAATTTAAATCGCCCTCTTAACACGATTTGCGATTTAAAATTTCCAGAAAATTAAACCGCACAATGCGGTTTTAAATCGCATCGCTTTTTGGTAAATCGCCTCCCATCGCGATGCGATTTAAATCGCAATCGCGTTCTGCCCATGTCTACTCGGGCGGCATGCCCCGGGCAGCATGGCTCGGCCGGCATGCCTCGAATGGCATGGCTTGGGTGGCATGGCTTGAGCAGCATGGCTCGGGCGCCATGGCTCGGGCGGTATGGCTCGGGCGGCATGCCTCGGGCGGCATGCCTAGGGCAGCATGCCTCGGCGGCATGGCTCGGGCGGCATGGCTCGGGCGGCATGGCTCAGGCGGCATGCCCTGTGCGGCATGTCTGGGGCCGCATGCCTCGGGCCGCGTGGCTCGGCCGGCATGCCTCGGACTGCAGCCCAAGACACGCACCTTGCACTTCAGGCCAAGACACGCACCTTGTACTGCAGGCCATGACACGCACCTTGTACTGCAGGCCACAACACGCACCTTGTACTGCAGGCCGGACTCTGTCTCGGTGTAGTCGGGGTACTTCATGCGGCTCTTGCCGTAGTCCTTGCCGCGCAATGCAGGCACTGAGAGCAAGCACAGCAGCCGGGTCAAATGGGAGGCGGGTTGGCCAAGGGGGAAAGGGAACGGTGAATGACGCCACCAACCACAACGCCTCCCTCCCAATGCGCCCCAGCTTGCGCTGTGCGACCTCTGAAAATGTGGAGAAGATTGCTGCGCAACTCAAGTGGCACTGTAACTCACTGTCGGCGAAGTTCGACTCATTTGCCTGGGCCACGTCAGCGGCCAGCACGGAGGCTGCGATTGAGGCGACGAGAGCGGAGGCAGCGGCGGCAGCACCGCCGAGAGCCACGCTCCTGCGACTCACGGAGAGGATAGCTCCCGCTCGCCCTGCACCTCCTGCTGCTGCTGCTGCTGGTCTTCCAGCAATGCTCGCGGCGGCTGTGACTTGGACGAGCGGAAGGAGGCGGATGCTGCCACGTGGAGCCGCTTCGTGCGAGCCGCCACTGAGGAGACATTTCTCGACGACGTGTCGAGCTGTTACAGGATAGACGAGAGTAAGAGAACAAACACGACGGGAAATGTCTTTCCTTCAGCATTTTGGTAGAATCTCCGAGCCAGCTGATGGACGAGGGAAGCAATTCGGACTGAAATAAAGAGAGCGTCACCTCTCGGCTAGTCCGTGCCAGGAGAAGCGACGGGGCCGCCTGAGCGGTCGCCATCAGGAGAGCCATTACGACCTTAAATTCGAGACGCAGACGAGCTGCACGGCCCGGACTAGGCTCAAGCTAATGCCGCTGTCACGGCCTCACAACCACTCAACGGCGCGGCCAGCGGTGGTTTATGGTGCGATGGTTGTGTGAGCTTGCCAGCGGATTGAGTGGCAGCGAGATATGTTTCTGCTGCTCTCCTCGAGGGGGAGTGAGGTGGAGTGGCAGGAAACATCTCGGGATTGTAGGTGAAACAGTTCAGGGCGTGTTCGTGTACAGTTCCAGGTCTGCGTATGGATGACAAGTTTCGGACAAGAGCTACGAACTTGAGAAGGCAAGGGGAATGATGCAGCATTGGGTGATCCAAGTTTCGGAAATGTTCGACCGTCTGTTACTAAAATAGGCCCCAGCTCACAGGTTTCCAGGCCTTGACGCACTTTTCGCTCTACAACGGGAATATCCGTTATGGACATGCATAAATGTTTTGCCTACCTAAGCGAACTTCAATTTTCTTCCACTAGTTCCTAAGACAGGTTCTCCACCCCATTCTGCCACCACAATTCTGCTGAACGCGTGGTATTCCCAAGGTAGTGTTAGCATTGTAGTCCCTCCTGGTTTCCGCCCAACTGATTAGGTCTTAGCTCTCAGGCTTCTCCGGCTGAAACGCCATTACCCCCCGCAAGCGCCTTCCAGTCTTTAATCGTGATCACCAGCCCTTAATCACAATTATAGGCGATGGAGGACGAAGCGGACTCTCCGCTCTTACGATTTTTGATCGAGCTTCTGAAGCCGATGTAAGCTCGACACTAAACCTCGATCCTTACCGTCTCTTTCCTTCTTTACTTTCGATGCCTTTCCGCCTCGAGAATGCCGCATTCAGATCTGTAATTTCATGTCTTTCGTGCCATCGGAACCCTGATTTGACAACCTGTCGGTCGTGGCAATTATTGGCTTTTATAACGCGTACAGATCGGAGGCGGATCCGGCGCTGCTGGCGAACTACGTGGTGGCGCTGCTGAAGAACAGCAAGCCGCACGACGAGCTGCGCCAGCTCTGCCTCGACCAGCTGCAGGACTTCCTCACCGACGGTACGTTACAAGCTTCTAGCCACGATTCCTTGTTTTGAGGCGCCTTATAACGAGGTTCGTCAGCTGTGCCTCGACCAGCTGCAGGACTTCCTCACCGACGGTGCGTTATCAGCTTCGATCCACGCGCCTCTCGCGCCGTTTGCGCGCATTGCGTCTCGCGTTACCTTTTCTGTTTGAACCTTTTGACTGTTTCGGGATGCGGGTCGTTTGGCATGAAATAGCAGCGACTGTTTCGGCGTCGGGGAATTATTCTGGCGATTGCATATCTGGAAATTATTCAAGTAGACCCCGCTTTTCTGCGATTGTTGATCTGGACTCTCACTGCTCTTGGTTCCCTCACTCTCTCGTTGCTAATCTCGCAGAAACCGAGGGTTTTGTTACGAAGCTGTTCGATGCCCTTGAGCGGGGGGAGATCTCGCTAGAAGATGCGGAGGCGGAGGGGGATGAGCCGGGGGGCGCAGACGACACGGACAAGAAGAAGAGCCGCGGCGAGGACGCGGAACCCGCGGAAGCCAATGAGGGCGGGAGAGACGGGGGAAGAGGCGGAGGAAAGAGCGGAGGTAGCGGGGAGATGGGGGACAGCGGGGAGCTGACGAGGAGGGGGGCAGGGGGAGAGGGGCCAAGAGAAGTGGGGCGTCGCGAGAGAGAGGGGGGAGAGAGAGGGCGGATGAGGATAAGGAGCGGGACGACGATGGCAGTAAAGGCGGGGAGAGAGGCGAGCGGGAGCCGCACCCAGCGGCGGAAGCGGAGGCGGAGGAGAGAGCAGAGGCGGGGGGGAGGAGCGGGAGGAGGAGGAGGAAGGGCGGCGGAAACGGCACGAGGAGGATGAGTCGAGCGACGACGACGACGACCGCAACCACAAGCACCGCCGCAGGGGCGGGGGGAGCGCTCGTTCCGCGACGACGGCACGGCGGGGGAAGGAGGGCGCGGCAGGGATCCCGCGGAAGGGCGCGGTAGCGTGCACTCGCGGTTAGAAGGCGTGAGGGATAGGAGAGGGGGTGATTTTAGCGGGGGTGGCGCAGGCAGGTCGTTCCGCAGCCGCGACGGCCCCCGTTCGTTTAGGCAGGTGGATGGGGGCGGCATGGGCGGAAGGGGAGGGCCTATGGGGCGGGATTTCCCGCGCGTGGGGGCCCCTGGTCCGGGGCAGCCGATTCTAGGCCCGCAGATGGGCATGCCGCGGTTCCCCATGGGGGAATGCCAGGGGGGATGGGAGGGCGCGCGGGCATCCTCAGGGGCATGCCTGATCGCTTTGATGGGGGCCGGGGAGGGGCATGGGGGAGCAGTGGGGCATGGGGGCGCAGCAGGCGGAATGCCCGGTGTGTTACCCTCCCGGGTTGGCCCTGGTATCCCTCCCCCGGGTCTCCCTGGCGCGCCTATGCCTGGTGCGGGATAGCAGGGGCAGGCCCGGGCATGCGGAACGGCATGGGCGGGGGCATGGGGAGGGGGTTCTTCCCCGGAAGGGGCGGGGGAGGGGGCCCGGGGCTGATCAGAACAGGGTTTGGCGCAGGGGGCCGGTTTTCGGAATGTTCCCAGGGGGAGGCGTGGGCGGGGGAGGGATGCAAGGGATGGGCGGGGAAGGATGGGCGCAGGCGGAGGGGGAGGGGGAGGGGCTGGAGCAGGCGGGGAGGGGGAGCGGGAATGGGGAGCGGGCAGGGAGCAGGCCCGGGAGGGCCTCAGGGCAAGCGGGCGCGGTGCCCTGACTTTGAGGAGAAGGGGTTCTGCCTGAAGGGCGACCTGTGCCCGCTGGACCACGGCAACTACCGCATCGTGGTGGAAGACATGCAGGTGCGCGCAGGGGGCTCTAGGGCTAGGGTGAGCGCATGCAGGGGGGGCATGCAGGTGCGCAGTGGGGGGGCAGGCTTTGCTGGTAGGCACGGGGGGCATGCAGGTGCGCAAAGGGGGCATGCAGGTGCGCAAAGGGGGCATGCAGGTGCGCAGGGGGGGCATGCAAGTGCGCGGGGGGGCATGCAAGTGCACAGGGGGGGCATGCAAGTGCGCAGGGGGGGCATGCAAGTGCGCAGGGGGGGCATGCAAGTGCGCAGGGGGGGCATGCAAGTGCGCAGGGAGGGCATGCAAGTGCGCAGGGGGGCATGCAAGTGCGCAGGGGGGGCATGCAAGTGCGCAGGGCGCGCAAGGGGGGCATGCTTTGGTGGTGAGCAGAGGGGCATGCAGGTGCGCATAGTGCACATCCCTCCCTGGTTCTTGAATCCTCAAATCTCCTCCTTTTCCTCCTCTCCTGCTTCTTTTCTCTTCAAACTGCCCCTCCTCCCCCCTGCCCCCAACCCCACCCCCACCCCCACGCCACCCCCACCCCCACCCCAGTCCCTGCAGCAGTTGAACCTTCCACTCCCTCCACAATCCCTCGGAATGCCGCCAAACTCGGCCGCCAGCCGCCGCCCGGCCAGCTGGCCGGCACCCGCGGCGAGGGCGGAAGGCGGCAGGGGAGGCAGAGGGAGAGGAGGGGGAGAGGGGGGTAGAGGGGGAGGCGAAGGAGGGGAAGGGGGGAAGGGGCAGGGGGTGGTGGGGGTATCGGCAGCAGTGGACGGAGGGGGAGGGGTGCCGCCTGACGATGGGGATAGCTATGACCCGGACGAGGCGCTGTGGGTGCACGACAGCAAGCGCGCCAAGGGGTTGAGCGAGGTGCGAGAGTATGGAGGCTTGGGGGGGGAGGGGAATGGGCGGAAGGGCGCACCTGGGGAGGTCAGTGTGTGGGATAGGATTGGGCCCGTTGCTGCTGCTGGTGGCGGTGGTGCTGCTGGTGGTAGGGGGGTGGAGGGGGGGTGGTGGGGATAGGGGTATGGCGGCAGCAGGAGGTGGGGATGTGGGGATGGAGTACACTCCTGACGGGGGCTTCAACATGGGGTATAATCCGCAGTTCCCGGGGAATTTCGGGGGCGGAATGGGGCAGGAATTCGGAGGGGATGGGGCAGGGGAGTTTCCAGCTATGGGCATGGGGCAAGGCATGGCACCAGGCATGGGGCAAGGCTGGCAGGGGCGGGCGGGCAGAGGGGACTTCGGGGGGGAGAGGGGACTTGGGGGGGAGAGGACGAGGGGAAGGGGGCATGGGCGGGGGCAGAGGCCGTGGAGGGGCAGGAGGCAGCGAGCGCAACCGAGACCAGAAAGCCCAGATGACAGTCTTTGTGAACGGGATTCCATCGGAGCTCACCTCGGGCAAGGGCCTGCAGGCGTCGCTCATCAAGCACTTCTCCAAGTTCGGCCCCGTGGTGGATATCAAGGTGCACGGGGATAAGGGCCGGGCGTTCGTGCAGCTGGCAGCTAGGGAGCACGCGGCAGCGGCCATAGCGGCGCCGGATGCTGTGCTGGGGAACAGGTTCATCAAGGTGTTCTGGGCTAACTTCGATCTGCAGCCGGATCCTGCCTCTGCTGCTGCTGCTGCAGCAGCGGCGGCGGCAGCAGCTGCTGCGGCTGGTTCGGCGGGTGAAGGGGCCCGGGAGCAGGTTCGGCAGGAGCAGGGGCAGGGGCGGAGGGTGGGAAGGGCAACGGGAAGGGTGATGCTGCTGCTGGGAATACAGGTGGGGGCAAGGGTGGGGCAAGTGCAGGGACTCCAGCAGCAGCAGCAGCAGCAGCAGCGGCGGTTGATCCGGCAGAGGCAGCAGCGAAGGCAAAGGCGAAGTTAGAGGAGTTGAGAGCGATTCAGAAGAAGAAAGAGGCGCTGCTGCGGGAGCAGATAGAGAAGCGGAGGCAGTACCTGGAGCGACTCAAAGAGGCCAGCCAGCACAAACAGCCACCCGCTGCTGCTGCTGCCGCCGCTGCTGCTGCTGTGTCAGACGCATCAGCAGCAGGTGCAGGTGCAGCAGGTGGGAGCACGGTGCAGGCAGCAACAGGCAGTGCTGCTGCTCCTGCTGCAGGTGCCAACCCGGCTGAAGCCGGAGCAGCAGGGGCAGGAGGCGGGGCGACAGGGGCTGCAGGAGCAGCAGCAGCAGGGAGCACAGCAGTGGGCACGCCTACAGCAAAGGACGCCTCAGGATTCCACCCGTCTCCCGGCGCTCCAGCACCTTATATGGGCGGCAGAGGGAGAGGGAGGGGCGGTTACGGTGGTTATGGTGGTGGTTACCACTATGGGTGGAGTGGAGGGGGGCGGGAGGGGGTGGGGGGGAGCGTGGGCCAATAAGTTCAAGCTGGACAACCGCACGACTGTGGTGCGCGTGACACCGCCCATTCCCGATGCCATCACTGAGGTATGGAAGGCTGGGGCACGTTACTGTCCGAACTAAACAAGTTCTGGCCTGTAAGGGAAAAGAATAAAAGCCTAGATTTGGCTGATCCAGGAATGTGCATCAAAGTGTGTTTCCTTGCAATTTAAGAGCTTTCTGCAATCCCGCATTTTCACTCCTCCGTTTTCACTCCCCATTTGTGTTGCCTTCAGTTCTCTCCCACAAATCCCTCGCACGGCACAGGCCAGCCAGCTGTGGGAGCACTTAGAGCATGATTGGCGAGGTGGTGAGTGTGGCTCTTGGCGTCTCTTTGCCCCACTCAATCCTCAATGCACCCTCTCCCACACCCCAACTCCCCCTCCATTGCCCCCTCGCCACCACGCATGCAGGCCAGCCAGCTGTGGGAGCACTTGAGCACGCGTGGCGAGGTGGTGAGCGCCGCTCCCGCCCACCCTCACCCCACTCAATCCTCATCCCACCCTTTCTCTCACCCAATGCCCCTTATGCCCCAACGCCCCCCAGTGGGAGCACTTGAGCACGTGTGGCGAGGTGGTGAGCGTGGCACTCTGCATCCCTCTGCCCCATTCAATTATCATCCCACCCCCTCCCCTTCGCTCCCCTTGCAGGCCAGCCAGCTGTGGGAGCACTTCAGCACGTGTGGCGAGGTGGTGAGTGTCGAGGTGGAGGGCGGCGGGACAGCTGTCACGCCCACCAGCGCGGTGCGCGTGCGCTTTGCGTCACGGCCCGTGGCGGACTACGCTTTCATGAACGGGCGCGTGCTCGAGTCGGGCGACACGCTCAACCTCTCGTGGGGCCCACCCGCCACCACTCCCCATGCTGCTGCTGCCGGTGCTGCTGGTGCCTCTGGTTCGCCTGCTGCTGGTGCTGCTGCTGGTGCTGCTGCTGGTGCAAAGCCAGCAGGTGTTTCGCTACTCAAGGTGGCAGCCGGGGGAGTGCAGAAGACAGCAGCAGGGGTTGCAGCACCAGCAGCCGCAGCAGCACCACAAGCAGGTGGAACAGCACCTGCAGCTGGCGGCCTTGCTGCTTCTGAGGGTGCTCCAGCTGCTGCTGCTGCTGCTCCTGATGCTGCTGCCAATGGCACCAGTGCTGCTGCCACTGCTGCGGCTCCTGCCAGTGCAGGCAGGGCAGGTGAAGGTGCAACAGGGGGTGCAGGAGTGTAAGGGGGATGCAAGAGCAGCATTTGTAGGGAATTACCGGAATGTGAGTGAGGAAGGCCATGTGGGGGCCAGGGTGAGTGAGGAAGGCCATGTGGGGGCCAGGGGGGCTGGAGCTCACTCACCCAGCGGAGCATCTGAATTCCATCTCAATCCCCTCCCCCCCGTTTTCCCATCCCTCCCTCGTTTCCCCACCCTCGTTTCCCTGCATCCGAGGAACCTCTGCCCTCCTTGTTCCGTTTGCCTGATTCATTTTGTCGCGTACAACGTAAGGCTAAGACTTTTGACTGGCGTTGGGGAATGTAACGGCATTAGGATCAATTGCTTTTGCAACACATGAATTCTATGCATTGTACCTGTTTTTACTTCAATATCTAACTTCATTGAATTTAACCTCGAAGGCTGTCTCTATCGAAACTTCTTCATTGTGACGCATTTGCTTCGGTTGCTTCACCTTCTCACGCCTCACAATCCTCGCCAGTCTTCACGGCCAAACCACGATGCGACCCAGCTCTCTAATTCGCACGCTTAGGGCCGGCGCTAGGCTCGGCAGGTCCAGCGACCCACCCGGACCGACGCAATCGCTACCCGGTAACCGTCAGATCGGACGGCCAGAATGCGACGGCCGTCGCTCCAGACCCGCCGAGAGCGCAGATATTCCCCGCCAGTGGCGTGGGGAGGCGGGCTTTCCGCGCATCTGCGAGCGCTTCCTCTCCTCCGCTTCCCCAGGCGCAGGTCCGGAAGCCGCCGCCCCCCCTGGCCCGGAAGCAGCTGCCGCGCTCCCCCGATTTGATTCGCCTCAAATCCATCCTCCCTACCATGGCCAATCAGAGCGCCCGCCACGCGCACTGGCAGAGTCTCCAGCCTCTGCCGCACTTGCCGGCATTGACTGGCGTGGCTCTCTAGAGCGGGTGGGCGTGAGAGGCGCCATAGACAGGGCGGAAGTGGGGGGACGTGAGGGGCAGCTAGATGCGGGTGAGAGAGCCACGGACGCCGCAGCATGTCTGGCTGCTGTGCATGCCGTGCCACGTGTACCTGCTACAGATGCAATGCCGTTGGTCGCAGTGGAAGAGAGCAGCATTCACACTGTTCTGGGCACGGCCAGGTACGTGACTGCCACGTGTCGCTTCACCATTGGTGGATCGACAGTATCAGCATCAGCCAAAGCAGCATCAATATCAAGAGAAGCAGCAACAGCAGCGGCGTGCACTTTGAAAGACCTTGCTGCACGGCTGGGCGGCACACCATCCGTGGTTGCTGCGTTTGTTTCCGGGGGAGGTACATCTGAGGCAGGTAAAGACAAAGCAGGCGTTGTTCTGTCCGCCCTAGGCCGGGAGATGGAGAGGGTGTTTGGAAAGGGGGGGAGAGGGGGAGCGCGGCGGAGCAATGCAGGGTGGAGGGCGGGCAGAGGGGGCTCACGGTGGGAGATGGGGAGGAGGAGAGGGTGCCAGAGGAGGCAACCCCTGGGGAAGGGGTGCCGTTCTTTGCATGCGCGGGTGGTGGCGGCATGGAGTGGGGGAAATGGGGCGCGGAGGCGCACCTGCTGGAGGCACACAGGGGCGCTGGGAGCGATGAGGACGCGGATGGTGGAGGTGAGAGTGAGGGGGAGGATGAGGGGGAGGATGAGGGGGAGGATGAGGGGGAGGGTTTGGAGTGGGAGGAGGTGGTGATGGCGGCAGCGGCAGAGGAGGTGCTAGAAGGAGTGATGCTGCTGGAGCTGATAGAGGACATGGAGCACATCGACAGGGAGATGCACGCCTTGGGGCTGCGAGACATCGGGGCCTTGGGGTTGCAAGACATCGGGGCCTTGGGGTTACATGGGTGGAGGGAGGAGAAGGAAGAGGAGGTGAGGGAAGAGGAGGAGGGAAAAAAGGAGGTGAGGGAAGAGAACTGCACACTAGCACCTTCCGCTGCGTCTGTCTCTCCTCTCCTCGGACAAGCCCTGCCAGAGTCCTCTAATTGGTTCGCTGAGTCCATTCGAGCAATCACAGAAGGACACGTGGCGCAAGCAGAAGGCACGGTTTCCCAACACCTGGAGGCAGCTTCCAGGAGGTTTCAGGGCCTTGCAGAGGGCCTGCAGACGCGTTTAGAGGCGCCCCAGTACAAGCTGCAAGGGGTGGCAGAGTCCATACAGGCAAGAATATTGCCCTCTGCCCGCGCGCTACAAGGAAGGGAGGTGCTGCAAAGAGGAGCTGTTTCACCCAGAGGAGATGGTGTGACAGGGAGGCCGGAGGGGAGGGGAGAAGGGATGAGTGAGGAATTGGTAGTGGTGGTGTGCGGTGCTGCTCTGCCCGGTGTTGATGTGCGGGCCTTTGAGCTGCAAGGGGATGGGTTTCCAGATCTGGGCGGCAGCATGCAGCACATGGTGACAAGCAATGCCGCCCACTTTGTGGTTGCAGGGCAGCAAGGCCCTCCCCTTGCAAACCTCCTTTCACGCCTTCACATCATCTTCCCACACTCCTCCAGGTAGCCTCCTCACTCCACCTGCCGTCTCTCTCCTCTTTCTCTCTCCTCTTTCTCTCTCCTCTTTCTCTCTCCTCTTTCTCTCTCCTCTTTCTCTCTCCTCTTTCTCCCTCCTCTTTCTCCCTCCTCTTTCTCTCTCCTCTTTATCTCTCCTCTTTCTCTCTCCTCTTTCTCCCTCCTCTTTCTCGCTCCTCGCCTCCACCCCTGAACCACATGCAATGGAGTCGCACGTGCATCGCACGCAATACTGCATAACAAGCACCGCATGCACTCGCACGCATAACTCCTATCACTCCCTGCCTTCTCCCCCGTGCCTCTGTCTCCACCCCTCCACCCCTCCATCCACAGGGCATCCCTCCTCTCTCAGCGCCATGTCAGTCGCACACAGCAGCTTGCCACACAGCAGCTCGCCACACATCCCTCTCCACCCGTTTCAATTGCCGGCCTCTGCTTTTCCCTCAACCCCTCTGGTAACCATCCCTTTGGTAACCATCCCTTTGGTAACCATCCGTTTGGTAACCATCAATTCACCCTACGTGCAACCCCCTTTGGTGTCCATCCCCCCACCCTCCTTGTAACCAGCTTTGATCTCTTAAACACCATGTAATGCTTTGATCTCTTAAACACCATGTAATGCTTTGATCTCTTAAACACCATGTAATGCTTTGATCTCTTAAACACCATGTAATGAGCCCCCGTGAGTTTCGTCCCCCGGCTTCCTTCATCCTCCCTTTCTCTCCTTCCTCCCCTCCCCCTCCTCCCCGCCCCCACCAGCCGAGCAGCAGAGCAGGGAGGCCCTGCATGCATGCTTCTCACACCTCATCCACCACCTTGCCTGCCCACTCGCCTCGACCCCCCTGTCCGCCTTGCCATGCGGCCCCACCGCTACATCTGCTGCTCCCACCCTTGAAGGGCCTCGAAGCACAACTGCGTCTGCTGCTGCTCCATGCCTTTTTGTAAAGTAAGCTAATCCAGTATGCACGTAATCTTATGGCTTTCTTTGCTTCTTATCTGCCAGGTAGATCGTGTTCCTTGCTTTCATTTCACGTGCCTACCTCTCCCCTCCTGTCCCTTCGCGCATCCATGTTCTCGCCTCGCCTATTTCTCTACCAGCAAGCCCCTTGCAACCTCTTTGCAAGCCTTGGTGAAGCCATACCATGTCGCAGAGCCTATCCAAGGGCCAATTGTAGCCGAGGCAAGTGCGCTTCAATGACCAAGCTGTAGCTAGAGATGGTAGGATATACATAATCAAATCAAATACTGATTTTTCTGAAACCTTGAATTGCATTTGCATAACAACATTTGCAATTGAAGCAACATTTGCAGTCGCTTGCCATTTTGCCTTGAAGGGTATGTATTATACGGTCTGCAGTGACATAGTGTGTTCATTTCCTTCTGCGCCTCTACGTCGCGGACGCAAAGAGTGGTGGGGCAATAAGACACGTGGGCGAATCAGCACATCCTGGCCAGGGGCGCACAATCCGAATGTTGGGTCGCACGGGCTCCTGCGACTGTGATGCGACACTCTGCTTCTGCTTCCATTCCGTCCCAAATCCCAAGGCTTTTCCAGTCTTGAGTGCAGGGGTTGAGATTAGAGAGTCCCTCGGTGCAGGCTAGGCTTTAGTTAGCTTCTCCGCATCGCTGGTAGCGCGGGTTAGCAAGGGATCGGAGCTCCTTTGCTCGCACTGAATGCCGGTCCTGAGCCGCCTGCACCGCCTGCCAGCCATGATTGCTCTTCGCACGCCATTCCGTCTCGGAGCAATCCAATCGCCAGCGACGTCATTGTTGCCTGCCAGCGTCGCATCGACCTCGCCTAGAATATTGAATCCCGTCGCACGGCTTCTACGATCGTCGCACGATCAGTCCCTTCTGCTAGCATCTAGACCGTTCCTTTCATCCACGCCGTCCATAACCCCCGTTACACGCCACAGACCCTTAACCGGCAAATCAGACGGCTGTAGAACGCTCTGCTCGTCAATACGAGCAGCAGCGTCCAGCGCGGAGGGCGGAATTAGCGGCGTGTCGGTAGCTGAAGCAGCTCCGGCGAAAGGCGATGCTTCGGTGGCTGGGAAGGGAACGGCCGAGCCGACCGTTGCGGCCGAGGCTAGTGGATCAGAAGCGAGCGAGGGGAAGGCTGCTGTGAGGTGAGCGAGCGCGGGAGGCTGGGGGTTGTGGTAGCAGTTCGGCTGCAGGCAATGCATCAGTGGCTGGGAACGGAACTCATGCGCCGCCAGTGCTGGCTCTCTCGGCTCTCTCGGCTCCATCGGCTCTGTCAGGCTGCATGCGATGCCTCACATTGAACGATGCCTCACATTGAACGATGCCTCACATTGAACGATGCCTCGCATTGAACGATGCCTCGCATTGAACGATGCCTCGCATTGAACGATGCCTCACATTGAACGATGCCTCACATTGAGCGATGCCTCACAACTGATCTGATCGTCCTTGAGATGGCATTGAACCGGCATTCAGCCATGCACTGGCGTCCGTCTCCACATTTGCGGCTGCACCTGTTCCCTTCTGCTTGTACGCGCCAGGAAGCGCCTCGTTTCGGGCGTGCAGCCGACGGGCAGCATCCATCTGGGGAACTACCTGGGCGCCATCAAGAACTGGATCCCCCTGCAGGTGCGCTCACTACTTGCTGGAGCGAGGGAGGCGTTCATGGCACCCCTAACTTGGCATTCATGGCACCCCTAACTTGGCATTCATGGCACCCCTAACTTGGCGGTGGAACAGAATTAGGCGTTTTAAGAGTGGACCAATGCAGCCACAATTCGTTCCCCTGTCTCCTTTATTACATTTCTAAGGCGTGCACTGAACGTGGTGTTTATATGTCACGCATGCCACGTGGTGTGGCTATTCTTGACTATCTGTTTGCCGTTTACGCCATGGTATGGCATGCTTGACATGGCTTGGGATGGAATGGCGTTGTATGCGCGTGTCGTGTGCAACGGCATGGCATGGCATGGCATGGCATGGCATGTGACATGCGCATGGGTGATTGCAGGACGAGTGCGACACCTTCCTCTTCGTGGTCGACCTGCATGCAGTAAGTGCCGCATCACCCCCGCCTGCCGTCGCACTTCCTTAGCTCTCACTCCTACACTTCCCACCCAACTCGTCGAACTGCTGCCTCCACTCATGTGTCCGAGTCCTCTCCCAGTCCGCTCCCTACTTCGTCCTCTCCACCCGCATTCGCCCCTCAGTCCCCTTCTACCCAGAGTCCAGCCTACCCCAGGACCTGACGTGGAGGACCTCTCCAGAGCATCCTGCATGGCTGCAGTCGTGCGAGTCTCTCACAGCCGCCCCCCTGCAGCTCACACGCCAACCTTCTGTGCACCCTCCCTGCCCGCAGATCACCCTACCCCACGACGTTGCGGACCTTTCCCAGGCATCCCGGACTGCTGCTGCCATCTACCTGGCGTGTGGCGTGGACCCAGCAAAGGCGACGGTGTTCGTGCAGTCGCACGTGCGTGCGCATGCCGAACTGACGTGGCTGCTGTCGTGCACCACGCCCATCTCGTGGCTCAACAAGATGATCCAATTCAAGGAGAAGGCGCGCAAAGCGGTAAGAAGGTGTGCAAAGCGGTATGAAGGCGCGTAAGGCAGTATGGTTCTGGAGCTGTAGGCCTGCAGGCTAGGCTATTACCACCTTGGGGATGAGCATGCTCACCGTCATATGTACGTATGATGCAGCTGATGTGCTAGATGCAGCCTGCAGGTGCGTCATGCTGGTGCGTGATGTCCCACGCAGCATGATGTCTCACGCATGGTGTCTCATGGATGATGTCTCAGATATGTTGTCCCAGGCATGCCCACGCATGGTGGCTCACGCATGATGGCTCAGGCATGATGGCTCAGGCATGATGGCTCAGGCATGGTGGCTCAAGAGGATTCTTGCATGGGAGGAATTGGTCCTTTTGGCTAGACTCCCATCAGCTCACGCTACCAGTCTCTTCCTCCCCTTGCCTGCTTCTCCCTGCCTGCTTCCCCCTGCCTGCACCCCCTGCCTGCTTCCCCCTGCCTGCTTGCAGGGCGAGGACGTGGGATCGGGGCTGCTCACCTACCCGCTCCTCATGGCCGCGGATATCCTGCTCTACCAGGTTCGCCGCTCTGCTGCTCAGGTGGTTCTTCAGGTGCTACTTTGCTTCCCAGGTACGTCTCCATGCGTGTCTCTCGATATCTTCATGTCTCTTTGCCCTCCATGCTTGCTGTACGCAGGGCAGCGTGGTGCCAGTGGGAGAGGACCACAGGCACCATCTGGAGCTCCCTTGACTCTCTTGCCCTCATTGAACCTCTCCCTGCCTCATTTTGCCTCTCCCTGTGTCGCCCTGTCTCTACCGCTGACCATGCGCAGTGCGACGTGGTGCCAGTGGGCGAGGACCAGAGGCAGCACCTGGAGCTCACCAGAGACGTGGCAGCGCGGATCAACAACCTCTACGGCGGCAGGAAGTGGAAGAAACGCGGAGGGTATGCCTAATCCACACGTGCATGTATGGCCCTCCTCCGCACACTTGCACCACATGCCCATGTACCATCCTTATCCCTCACACGCTGCTCTACAGTGCTGCATCCTTATGCTGCGTCCCGTTCTCCCCACTGCGGCCTCTCGCACTCTTATGTCCGCACAGGCGGGGCGGCCGGGTGTTCAAGGTGCCGGAGGCCATGATCCCCCCTGCTGGCGCGCGCATCATGTCACTCACGGATGGCACTGCCAAGGTGGGTGCTGGGTGCTGCTCGCGGCTGCTGGCTGCTGCTGGGACCTGCTGGCTTCTGTTGGGTGCTGCTGGGTGCTGCTGGGTGCTGCTGGGTGCTGCTGGTTGCTGCGTGCTGCTGGCTGCTGCTGGCCCGCTGCTTATCCCCCTTCCTATCCCCGCCCTCGTTCGTGCTTCACTCCTTTCACCTGCACGTACCGCGCGTGCAGATGTCCAAGTCAGCCCTGTCCGACATGTCGCGAATCAACCTGCTCGACCCCCCTGATGTGCGTCCCCCCTTCTTCCATCCCCTCGCCTCCTCTCTTTCCTCCTCTTGCTTCCTGCCCTTACGTCCCCTCTCCTTTCTAACCATCCCAGTTTCTCCCTCCTCCTCTGCTCGGCTACCATCCTCATCTACGCCCCTCCTCCTCTCCACTCGCCCCACCTCTTCTCTCACCATATATGTCCTTCCCTCTTGCCAATCCCTCAGTCCAGCTCTACTCGGATGCCCACTTCTCACCTCCTCCCTCCTCCCCGCCCTGCCATACAACCCTCTGTGCGTCTGCTGTGTGCAGGTGATCGCCAACAAGGTCAAGCGCTGCAAGACAGACAGCTTCACGGGGTGAGAGAGGGAGGGGATGGGGTGAGGGACGGATGGGGTGAGCAGCCAGTGATCTGATGCGGGGAGAGTGGCAAGACGGGAGAAGTAGAAAAAGGGAGAAGGGGATGAAAGGAGGAGTTCAGGGTAGTTGTTTTGACTCGTCTGCTCTTGCATACCATGCTCAGGCGTTATACCCCTTAGCACCACCATCTTTATCCTCCCTTCACTGCACCCCTCCCTCCTCACGCCCTTAGTACCTCCCCCGGTGCAGCACGGAGTTTCAGAGCGCCCCGAGCGCCAGAACCTGTTTGCCGTCCCGCACCTCCTGTGCCTCCGTCACCCCTCCCTGTTCACCCCACAACCCCTCTTCTGTCCGCACCCTCTCTCTCTCTCCTCCAACCTCGTTTGCAGCATGGAGTTTGGCAATCCGGAGCGGCCCGAGTGCCAGAACCTGATGTCAATCTATCAGATCGTCACGGGGAAATCCAAAGAGGTCAGACGAGAGGGGAGCGATGAGGGCAGACAAAACGGGGAGAGGGGTTGGGAGGGAGGGAGGAAACGAGAGAGGAGAGGGAAATGAGTGAGGGTGGTTGAGAGCCTTGGAAGTGAGGGCGTGCAGCACTGCACACTGCCTTCCACGCCCCGTGCCACTCTCTTGCAACCCACGCCCCCATGCCCCTCATTCCTTGCCTCTCTCTCATTTCCCCTCCTTCCTTCCCCCTCTCTCTGACCCAACTCGCTCTGTGCATGCCAGGAGGTGCAGCAGGAGGTGGAGCCGTTGAGCTGGGGGCAGTTCAAGCCGCTGCTTGCAGACGCCCTCGTCGCGCACCTAGAGCCAATCCAGGCAAGCCACGTGTCCATGGTTTCTAGTCAAGCCGTTCTTTTCCTCGGTGCTGCTCTTTTACGAGCATTCATTCCTATGCCGTCTCTCACCCCATCCCTCCTCGGATTTCTCGCAATTTCACGCTCCCCCAACATTGCATTCACATTCACCAGAAGCGGTACAAGGAAGTGACAGCAGATGCGGCGTATCTGGACGGGGTCCTGGCGGAGGGAGCAGCACGAGCCAGTGAGATTGCTGACCGCACACTGAGGGACACATATGATGCCCTGGGATTTATGGCTCCTCCACGTAGATAGTAGAAGTACATCAACGTGGTGCGTACATAGGTAGTTTTGGAATTACAGCCCCTTGTTAGCTGGTGTTGCAAACTTGACGAAATCATATATATTTCTGAGGTCTATTTTTATCTTGAACGAGGTATGCTACACCGAATTCCATATTTTAGTTATTATTGGTTGACGTAATACAGAGTAAGCCTTCTCGAAATGAATAATGGGGTAACAAGGCTGAAGTGCAGTAGTTCGCTCCCACGAGCTGGGCGCTTATCCACTGATCACTGTAGACGAGAAGACTCTCGGGCAGGTCGAAAACCGATCGACGGTCGAGAATCCATCTCACTGCTCTCAGCCGAAACTTTCCAGGCCTCGAGAATGGATCAAGGCGGTAAAACCCTCAACGGTGGGCAGCAGGTTGGGGTGGCCGATAAAAAGAGGCAGTCCTCTAAGAGGAGGATTTCTCGGCTGCTTTTCCTGCTGCTCTCAGTTATGTCCCTCCTGCTGCTGCCTGCCTGCCGCTCCCTCCGCTCCGTCGTCAGTCGCAGTCGCACGCCCACAGCTACGCTGCTCCACCCTCCATGTCCGACGTGGCTCGAACCGCCCAACCCACCAGGTTCAGTCAACAGCGAGCCCTCTCCCCCACTTGCCTGTTCGCTTCCCTGCTTTTCAGAACTCACCGCCACGATTCGTGTGCACCTAGTGTTCAGACCTAATTAATTGCTTGCGTAGTTGCGTAGCTTGGTTTCGCCGTCTCGTGTCACAGACCTATCGTTTCACTGCGTCGTTTTAGTCGTCTATCGTGCCATAACCAACATGATCCGTGACTTAGGCTGCGTTCCCTCCTATCACTCGAGTTTTTCTCGCTCACCGTCCCGTCAATTAGTCACATACTATTTTCCTCTGCGTCTCTTCCCGTGTCGTGCTCGTCGTGGGAAACCGGTCCATCACTAAACGCCGATTGGTTGCTTCTGATTTATTCTCTAAGTCACGTTCCGCGTCGCGTCGTCGGTTCAGTCCATGCTGTTACGTCAGTCTCTCGACCATGACCGTAAGCTTACTTCCATCTCTTCCTCTTCCCTGTTGATGCGCCTTCCGTTGTCGATGCGCAGGTGTTCCTACGAGATCTTCGGTTTCGCCATCGCCACGTGGCTCCTGGTCCGTCATTGGCGGCGAGATTGGGGACGAGAGCGCTACCCAGCGGATTTCCCAGTTTCCCAGATATCCGACTCTTTATCGGCGTTAGGGTAGCATCAACAGTGTTTTCAGTAAGCGAGCTTCGCGGGTGCAATAGCTACCTCTAGCGTCCGCATCCCTTCATTCGTTCTCGATAGTCGGTAGTTTTCGTTAATGCCTCTCGAGCAACACGCGTCAGATCGATCGCATTAGTCTCTGCACCCGTCCCCATCGCTAGATCTACAACCGCAGCCGATCGACCAACTTGTTCGAAAATTTTAGGCGAGCTGCAGCAGGCGGAGTGACGACATTAGACGACCGAGTGACGAGATCGGCAGGTCGGTCAGCTGTCGCGACATCAGAATCCGCGTTTTGACCAGCGTCGCACGTCTTTCAACGCCGTCCGCTTGGATCCGCGCATTTCCATGGACTTGCCCTCTAATCCCTCGCTTCCAGGAAACTCCCTCCTCGCCTCCGCACCTCCCTCCCAGCCACTCTTGTCCTCGTCTCCCCTCACCCCGCCTCCCGCTCTCCCCCGTACTATCCCGCAAGCGGGACTCGTTTCCGCGAATCATCAGCTAGCGCAACCTAGTTCCGCCGCACCCGGCGCGACTTCCGCCATCGCCTCTGGCGCAAGCGAAATTCCCGCAATGTCGCACCCCGTTGCCTCACAAGCTTCCGCAATGCGGCCTGTTGCGCCTGCGCCTGGCAGAGTTCCGCGGATTGCGCAGGTCACGTCAGCGCGGGTGACCCCTCAGCCTCCGCCTCAACCTTCCCCTTACCCTCAATCTGCGCCTGCGCAAGCATCTGCTCCGCCTCAGCCTTTGCCGCAGCAGGTGCAGCAAACTCAGAGGCAGCAGCAACTGCTATCCCAGCAGCAGCAATCGATGCTTCAGCAGCAGCAGCAGCAGATTTCACAGCCCCAGGCGCAGCAGCAGCAGCAGCAGCACACACCGCAGAAGCCGTCGCTGCTGCATCCCCTGCCTCCCCGCGTGCACCAGCAACCGAGACCCATAGCCATTCGGCCAGTGCAAGCAACGGTACAGCAGCAGGCGCAGCAGGCGCAGCAGGCGCAGCAGTTTCAACACCAAACGTCACCCCTTGCATCGAAAACACCCCCACAGCAGGCACAGCAACCAACGCACCCGGTGCTTCCGTCGAGCCAGAAGCAGCAACCTTTGCAGCAGCAGGGCCTGCCAGCTCAGGGAAGCTTTCTTCCAGCGCAGCAGCAGGGGACGCAAGCGTCTCAGCAGCTGCTGCAGCAACAGCGGCAACAGCAGCTGCAGCAACGGCAGCAACAGCTACAGCAGCAGCAACTGCAGCAACAGCAACATCAACAGCGGCAGCAGCAGCAACAACAACAGCAGCAACAGCAACAGCAACCGCAGCAGCAACAGCAACAGGAACAGCAACAGCAACTACAGCAACAGCAACAGGGGCAACAGGGAGTCGCTCAGGCGCAAACACAGCAGCAGCTGATGAAGCAGCTGCAGCCGTTGTTGATGCAGCAGCAAAAGCAGCGCCAGGCGCAACAGTACGCCCAGCAGCAGCAGCAGCAGCAATTGCAGCCAGAAATGCTTCAGAAATTGCAAGCCACGCAACAAAGCTCACTCCAGCAACAGCAGAAGCATTCACAGCAGCCGCTGTTGCCGCTGCAGCAGCAGCAGCAGCAGCAGCATGCATTGCAAAAGCAACAGCGAAATCCGCAACAACAGCAGCAGCCACAGCAGCAGCAGCAGCTAAGGCAGGGTCCTCATGCGTCACCGGCGCTGCTAGCCCAGCAGGTGAACGCGTCTCAGCAGAGAGCGCTGCAGCAGGATCAGCTGCTTCAGAAGCTCACCCCGCAGCAGCGGCACCTGCTGTCGCAGACGTTTCAGCAGCAGCAGCAGCAGCAGCAGCAGCAGCAGCAAATGCAAATGCAGCAGCAGCAGCAGCACACGCAGCAGCAAGGCGGTGCACTGCATCCACAGAACCATCCCCAGCACAAGCCACTGGCCCCAAAGCCTCAGGCGCCGCCCCCTGCATTGCTGCCGCTTTACCAGCTGCACCCCCCGCAGCCCCTAAACTCATCCCCTCAGGTGGCAAACGCGTCCCATCCTGCCCAGTCGCACGTGCAGAACCAGAGTGCGGTGCAGGCGCAGCCGCGAGCAGGGGCGCAGGCGCAAGTGGGTGCCCAGCTGCTGCTGCCTACCGGGGCAGGAGGAGCGGAGCAGCAGATGAAACCTCCTATGAGTGCAGCAGCCAAACAGGTACAGGCGAGGATGGTGCAGGCCCAGCAACAGGCGCAGGCCCAGCAACAGGCGCAGGCCCAGCAACAGGCGCAGGCACAGCAACAGGCGCAGGCACAGCAACAGGCGCAGGCACAGCAACAGGCGCAGGCACAGGCCCAGCAGGGGCTGCAGGGGCGGCAGGGGCAGCAGCAGGGGCAGCAGCAGATTAATGCCCAGAGGCAGCGGCTTCAGCAGCAAGTGGAAGGGTTTCTGCAGCAGCAACAGGCCGTACAGGGGCAGGGCCAGGGGCAACAGCAGGAGCAGGGGCAGCAGCAGGAGCAGGGGCAACAGCAGGGCCGACAGCAGGGGCAAGTGCAGGGGCAGGGGCTGGCGGTGCAGGCTGTGCATCAGCAGGGGAAGGTACAGCAACAGCAGCAGCCACTGAAGCAGGCACAACAGCAGCAGCCAGTGCCAAAGCCACAGCATCACCAGAAAGCACAACCACAGCAGAAGCAGCAGCAGGCACAAGCACAAGCACATGTACAGGCACAGGCACAGCAGCGGGTGCAGCAGGCTCAACCAAGGCGAGCACAAGACAAGTCTCACCACCCCCTTGAGCTGCCCGCCCTCTCCTCCTCCCGCCTGCCCCGACTCACCTCGCCGTCCTCTCAACTCAAGCGGCCCACCGCCCAAGCAACCCCCTCAGTTGCGGCAAAAACTGAGAACCAAACCGGCAATGGGCCCTCTGGCCCTGCTGCCCCTTCCCCATCGCCTCCCCTGCCCCATGGCTCTCACACAGCAGGGCAGGGATCTGGCACAACCAGGCGAAGTCTTGCTGGCTCAGGGAGAGGGGCAGGTGATTTCTCAGGTGGTCATGTGAAGGATGGGTTGGTGCCAGGTGCGGTGCCAGGTAAGGCCCTTGCAGAGGTGAAGAGGGTTGGGGTGGGTGTGCAGCAGGCAGTGGCGGGGAGGGGGGCTGCTGATGCCAAGGCTGCAGCTGAGGCGGCTGCAGCAGCAGCAGCGCAGGCGGAGAGGGAGAAGTTGAGGCGGAGGAAAATGCAGATGCGGGCGCTGCAAGCCGTGCTCTCCCACTGCTCTGCGGTACGTGCTGGTCCTTGGGGTGGGCTCGCTTGTACCTCATGGTTGAAGTTTCTCTTTGTAGTTTGATCTGCAGTTTCCTGTCACCTCGAAAAGAATCTACTTGTTATGTTTCATACTCTTGCAGTCACGTAGAGCACCGAGTCTCATGATGCCTTGCCTTGACTCACATACTCCTCTGTATCCCCCACCTCCCTTCTCTCTCACCAGGAGTCCACAAGAGCACACAAGCTCCGCCTGCAGAGGCTCCGTGAGGCTGACGAAGCTGCAGCGCAGGCTCGGGCCGAGGCTCTGGCTCGGTACACGACCAACGCGGAGCTGCTGCAGGAGATATTCTCCTGCGACTCCACGCAGCTCTCTTGCCTCGCCTCCTGTGCCATGCTGCGCAGCCGTGCGGGCCCTTCTGGTGCTCATGGGGAGCAGGATGTAGCAGAGGGAGGCGAGGGGGGTGATGGGGAGGAGGTGAATGTGCGTGCGGCAGAGGCGGGGTTTGAGATGCTTGCTGCTGTGGCAGCTGAAGGCTGTGGAAGGGAGTCTGGGGAGGGGAATGTGGGGTCCTGTGGGGCTGATTCTAGAGCTGCTGGTGCTTCTTCGGCTGCTGTTGGTCTGACAGGGTCGTGGCTTAGGGTGGCACTGTACGGAACTGTAACGAGTGGTCCGTCCGTGCTATCGACTAAGTCTTCTGCTGGATTTCGAGCAGGAGAGAGGGCTGTCGGAGTGGCCAATGAGGGGAAGCGGTGGGCACAGGAGGTGGCTGTAATGGCAGCTGACTTTGACCCTGTGACGATGGGATTCAGAAGTCAGCAGGCAGGCAGGGAGCAGACTGCAGGGATACATGAGGTTGGTGGGAAGAGACCCAGGGGGGAGGGTGGAGAGGGAGAGATTGAGGAGGTAGGACGTGGCGGGAGGAGGAGAATGCGGGGTGCGGCTTGGGATGATGCGGCACCATCGGCACCTGTGTTCACAAATCATGCTTCACGTCACTGGGGTGGTCGATGGGGGGAAGGCTCTGTTGCAAGTGCTTCCGAAGCAGTTGCTGTTGACGACACAGAGGATGATGTAGAGGAGATGGATGATGAAGAGAAGAGGTTTGAAGAGATGCTGGAGGAGAGGAATAAGAAGATGGACGAGTTTGAGAAGATCATGACAGTAGCAGCTGCAGCATCAAGTGCAAGTGACATTGGAAATTGTGAAGCAGTGTTTGCGTCATGTTTCCCCCATCTGCTAGGGGAAATGAAGCTTTGATCGATTTCTCTGGATGGTGTGAACTCTAGTCTCTAACTATTCTGATTATATGACTAATTTGAAAAATTGGGTAGGAACATGCATTGTATTGAGTTGACTTAGTGCATTTCTGTAAGGAAATGGTATTTCCTTATCACGGGTATTAGTCAGTAAGGCGTACATTGCTATAACAGGGTTGCCACGCAGCTCTGCCATGAAACTCAACTCGCGGTCCCAAATGTGGCCTCCTTACGAGCCGCATACTTTGTTGCTCGCCTTGCTGTTGCATGCCTAGATCTGGGCGCTCCGCGCCATTTTACGAACCACGCGTCGCAGCTCTGCCGAGCCACGACCGTGTGCTCCTAGGCTAGCTATATCCATGCTCCCTGTCCCTGCTGTTTTGATGTTGCCTCAGTTGTATTGTTTCCTCGCTAATCAATCTTTCGACACACGTACTTTGCGCTTCATTACACCTGGCCATCAGAGCCAACGATCCTCAGCCTTGCGCTCTAGTTCCGCTGCAATACCGACACTTAGGGAGGGTGACGCCCTGCGCTTACTGCATGTCCGTTGTCCTGGTAATATTCATTGATAATTACCTACAGCCACGACTGTGTTCGCAGTGCTAGCGTGCCGAAGGCCGCCCAAAACTTCCGCGAAATGGTGGATCCGTCGGCATCTACCAGCATGACTCCTGAGGAAAGGGCGGCAATATTTGATGAAGTCCGTCTCACTCACGAGTTGTACCAGCAGGAGTTGACGCGCCTGCGAGCTGAAACGGCCCAAGCCGAATCCGAGATATCTGCACTTCGGAGCCAACAGCAACAGACACAGCACAACATGACCGCACCAACGACAAAACAACGACAACAGGAGCAAGTAACCCAGCATCGTTCCGAAATAGCTGGCAACAATCAGCGACCAAACGCGACTTCGCCCGAGGGTTCGACGAACAACCCGCCACCGGCTATTGGACGAGCGGAAGTTAGTGAAAGGACGAACGTAAACCTGCCGCCCCCAATTACCCCTCCGACCGGCCTGCAAACTGCCAACATCAGCATGGCACCCGGAATTCTCAAGACACAGAGGCCGCCCGCGTTCGACCCAAGCCAGCGTGGCAACTTGTCCGTCAGCGGGTGGATTTTTTACCTTAATGTTTTTAACGACTGCAACCTCGTCAACGACGTCGCGCAAAAAATCCGGTACGACGTGTCACTCCTACATGGACCGGCTATGGATTGGTGGCAGCAGATAATTCGGTCGCAGGAGCCGGATACGACGCCGCGCGTAATCGGGCGTTTTCCTACGACCAATCACTGGGCATGAAGTTATTGCAAGGTGGACGAGTATAGCACATGGCAATCGTGGTGCGCAGGAATTCGTCGCCGCTTCGAACACGTCAATGCAAGCGCGCGACCGCCTTCGCACGTGTCGCCAACTCGGATCGGTCCATGACTACAACAGCGACTTCAAGAATCTATGCGATCAGGTCGGCTACATTCACCCTGACGAGACTTTCGATAAATTCATCGGGGGACTTAGACCGGATTTGCGCAGCGAAATACAAGTCCGAGAAATTACAGATTTGATGGAGGCGCAGAGAGTTGCGGAGCGGTTGGATTCGTTCTACCGACCAAGGACAGGTTCCTATGGTGGAAACCACACTCGGGGACCAATCGAGCGTGCTACTGTACACGCTGTTACAACATCGAACTTAGCAGTTACAGCCTTCAAGGGTCGCTATTTCGGGTGTAACAAACCGGGACACCGCAATTCAGAATGCCCAGAGGAGCGGAAGAAGCGGAATCAGGGGCAAGGGAGTTCCAGTGATAAGAGAAACACTTAGTATCAGTAGTTAACAGGGCTACTACTGATAGAACCTGCTCGCCCGTGACCGATGGCCCTCATCGAGTACTAGTACCGATCCACGCAATCGACAAAACTCGGTTGAATAAGGAGGGTGCAGAAGCGGATTACCCTATCTATTTAGAGGGTAGGATTCAAGGGAAACAAATCAAAATCTTCGTGGATGGAGAAGCCAGCCACTGTCTGATCAACCTCGCCACGGCAAAAAAGAAGAAGTTACCCTTAGATAGGTGTCTGCCGGAGATTGACGCCCGACTAGTCGATCGAACCCCACTTGCAATAAAAGATAGGGCGGAGATGATTAGGGTACGTTGTGGAGCTAACTTCAAATTTTTTATGGGAATGCTAGCAACTATGCTCGACGACTTCGATATGTTGCTGGGACGAAATTGGCTGCGACGATTCAACCCAAAAGTTGAGTGGACGACCGGCAACTATTCCGTCGAGATCAACGGTCGCAGTGTGACGTTACCAGAATGGTCGAAGAGATCATAGGAGGAGTGGCACAGGTGAACTCTGTGGTGATCAAACGAGTGGTCGCACGAAGAGCGGAAGTAATCGCTGTAGTCATTCGCGCCGTCGACGTGACATTGCAACTGTCCGATTTTGAAAAGGTTACAGCAACAGTGCTGGCCGATTTAGCGTAGTTGATTCTCAGATTCCCCCAGATATTTCCAGACGACCTACCCGAGGGATTACCACCGGAATGGCCCTTTGACTATCGAATCAAATTAGAACCAGGGACACAGCCCACAGTGCAGCGGCAATTTCAATTAACACAACCAGAGTTAGAGGAATTACGGAAGCAGTAAGATTACTTACTGGATAAAAAAAATCATCCGCCTGAGCTCCTCGCCATTTGCCGCCCCCATAGAGTTCACCCCGAAGAAAGACAGCGGGTACCGAATGTACACCGACTACAGAGCACTGAATAGGGTGACTATTAAGTCGCATTACCCTATCCCGCGCGCCGACGAACTCATTGACCAACTTCGCAAAGCTCGCTTCTTCTCCAAAATAGATTTACGAGGGGGTTACTCTCAGATTCGCGTAGTCGCAGCTGAATGTCACAAGACTGCATTTCGTACTAGGTACGGGAGTTTCTAGTAGGTAGTTATGCCCTTCGGGTTGACGAACGCCTTGGCAACTTTTCAGATGACCATGAACCAGATCTTCAGTTCACTCATAGATAGGTGTGTTATAGTCTACCTAGACGATATCCTGATCTACAGCGAGACCCGGGAGCAGCACTTAAAGGACCTCGAAGCAGTTTTTCATGCTACTGCAGGGGCATCGGCTGCTCACGAAGGGGTCTAAGTGCGAGTTTTTAAAAGACCGCCTCAAATTTCTGGGACACGATATTTCTACCAAGGGCGTCGAAGTGGACTTGCACAAAATCGAGACAGTGCAACCCTGGCTGCTGCCTAAGAACCTGCAGGAGCTGCAAAATCTTTTAGGGCTCGTCAATTATGTTCGGAGTTTTATCCGCGCCGCCGTGCCGTGCTGGCCCCTCAACTCGTCGCGCTCGCCCCTAGCTCGTCGCACTGACCCTAGCTTGCCGCGCTGGCCCTAGCTCGCCGCGCTGGCCTTAGCTCGCCCCGCCCCTTAGAGCGTGCCCCGCCCTTTTCACGCAGTGCTCGCACCTAGCCCGGCGCGTTGGCCCCTAGCTCGCCGCTGGCCCCTCGCTCGTCGCTGGCCCCTAGCTCGCCCACTGGCCCCTAGCACGCCCGCTGGCCCCTAGCTCGCCGCTGGCCCTTCGCGCACCGTGCGACCCCCTTTTTGTCGTAGCGTGGCCCCCTAGCTCGCCGGCCCTAGCTCGCCAGCCCTAGCTCACCGGCCCCAGCTCGCCGGCCCCAGCTTGCCGGCCCCAGCTCGCCGGCCCCAGCTCGCCGCCACCTCTCTCGCCGGGCCTAGCTTGCCCGCAGGCCCCGGTTCCCTTGCCGGCCCTAGCTCGTTGGCCCTAGCTCGCTCGCTGGCTTCGCGCCGGACCCAGCTCGCCGGCCCGAGCTCGCTGGCCCTCGCTCGCCGGCCCCAGTTCGCGCCGTGCCGCCATACCGCAGTGCCGCCGTGGCGTCGTACCACCGTGCCACCGTGCCGCCAGATCGCCATACCGCCAGATCGCCGTACCGCCGTGCCGCCGTGCCGCAGTGTCGCCGTGCTGCCGTGCCGCAGCACCTCCTCACCGTCGGCCTAGGTTCCCCTCTGAGCCGGTGCGTCCGCCGGCTGTCTCTCCATTGCTCTCCACCGTTCTCCACCGCTCTCCACCACTCTCCATCATTCTCCTCCTCCTCTAGCGGTCGTCAGCTGCTGCAGCCTTGGTTATCGCGGACGCTGTGCTGAGGTTCGGTCTTCATTTCTCCTCTGCGCAGCCCACACCTCTTCCTGTAGACCACAGGCTCTCTGCTCCAGCTCCTGAGGAGTCAGTAGAGTCCATTGGTCCTTACGCAGTGCTTGTGGGTTGCCTTATGTACCTGATGCCTTGCACTCGTCCAGATCTCGCATACCCTCTCAGCATCCTGGCTCGCTTTGTGGCGTCAGGCAGACACCGGCCACAGCACTGGTCGGCCGCTAAGAGGGTTTTGCGTTATCTAGCAAGTACATCGGGCATGGGACTCGTGCTGGGAGGACGCAGGCCAGTGGTCCTTACTGGGCACACAGACGCTTCATGGGCAGACGACGCTGAGACACTCAGGTCCTCCCAGGGCTACTGCTTTAGCCTTGGTTCAGGTGCCATCTCGTGGAGGTCCACTCGCTCCTCCTCTGTTGCCCAGTCTAGCTGTGAGGCTGAGATCTACGCCGGTGCCATGGCGACCTTCTTACTCACCGACTTAGGTGAGCAGCCTGGCTCTGCATCGGTTCTGTACGCTAACAACAGGGCCATGATCCTCCTGTGTCAAGAGCCTTGAATTGAGGGCAGAGCGAAGCACATCCAGCTGTGGTACATTCTTATGCGCGAGCTACAGCAGCGCCGCCAGGCCTGCGTAGTACACTTAGCCTCCGGTGCCAACATAGTTGATATCTTTACTAAGGCGCTTGTGCCTAAAGATCATCAGCGGCACTGTTTGCAGCTTGGTCTAGTTCCTGTAGCTCCTCACTTGCTAGGACCTGGATTGTGTACTCATCTTTATGTATACCTTCCTGACTGGCCTTGTGGCATCTCTTGTCGTGCCGCCCTGGTTTGCTCTTAACTTGTTTGTACTCTTTCTAACTGGTCTTCGGAACCCTACCTCAGAGGTTGGACTAGTAGTGCCACCCTGAGGTGCATGTTCCTTGCTCAGCACTACTCCTTATATAGCCTAACGGGTGTGTCAACTTATACATATGTTTATATGTAGATGTTATAGGCTAGATAGGTTTGTGTTCATAGAGGGTACAACTCCAACCCTATATCTCTCCTATTCTCACTTGTTCTAGTCATTCTGCTATTCTAACAGTGCTGTTGTAGAGAGTCCCGGGAGTAGCCGTGGTGAGGCTAGACGCTCTGGTGTGGGCGCGGAGAAACAGCAACAGCGGCCACAGCAGTCACCGCCGGTATGCGCCCTTCACCTCCTTGGTCTTCCCTCCCCTAACCGGCCGCCCATGCCTTCCCCGGTGCCACCTCCTCCGCCTGTCTCCGGCCCTGTGTTTCCTCCGCCAGACTCGTCCCTGACCCATTTTCCCCCTCGTTCTCCTCCTGTGTCTCCTGACCCGACGCCTCCCTCCCACTTCTGGTCTCGCCGTCCCTTACATGCTCATCCAGTCTCACCGGTTCAGCATTCTCACCCTATGTTGCTCCGCTCATGCGTCTCATGCTCCTCTTCTCCCATCGCCTCCCCATTCGTCCCTTGTTGTCTCTCCGCCTCCTCTTTCTGACATTCCCTGTGCTGCTAGTCCACTTGTTCCTCGGGTCCTCGCCTCTCTGGTTACCGACCCGTCCGTTCCTGTCTCCAATCTTGATGCTCTTGTCGCCGACGTTGCTGACTTTGCTTCTACCCACCGCCTTGACCACGCCACTGCTCTGGTCTCTGACCTTGCCTTTCCTCCGTCCATCGGGGGTGCACCTGCCCTTAGCAGTGACGTCCTAGAGGACAGGCAGTACGAGCTAGCTTTCCTGTCCAATGTCGCTCCTCATCTCTGCTCCACGCTGCTAGTCCCTGAGGGTGACCCACACGCCCTTAACATCCTAACCCCTCGCACCTACGTTGAGGCGAACTCGAGACCCTGGGCCTCTCAGCGGATAGCTGCCATGGACGCGGAGATGGCATCTTGGACATCCACCGGCACCTACGTCGACGCAGTTCCCCCACCTGGGGTGAACGTAGTCAATGGCCGGTGGCTCTTCAAGGTGAAGCGCCCTTCTGGAGAGCCGTCGGTGTTCAAGGCGCGCTACGTTGCTAGAGGCTTCAGTCAGCGCGAGGGTCTTGACTTTTTTTCAGACCTTCGCCTTGACCTCGAAGATGACCATTTTGGGTGCTGCTTCACGTAGTAGCACAGCACGTCTACGAGCAGCACTCCCTCGACTTCTCCACAACGTTTCTTCAGGGTAGTCTGCATGAGCAGGTATACCTCCACTGTCCGCCAGACTTCACTTGCACCTTCGCCCTTGGGAATGAGTGGCTCCTCCGACGCCCGTTTTACGGTCTGCAGCAGGCGCCCCGTGAGTGGCACGACACGCTGCATGCTACATTAGCAAACATGCAGTTCTTCCCGTCCTCTGCTGACCCTTCGCTCTTCGTTCGCTCAGGCTAGACCCCGTTCTACATCGTATTCTACGTAGACAACGTGGTCTTTGCTATTGCAGACAGAGATGCACTGGCCTCCGTAAAGGCTAAGCTTCTGATAAGACACACCTGCACTGACCTAGGAGAGTTACGCTACTACCTTGGCCTGCAGATCTCCAGGGACAGAGTAGCACACACCATCACTCTCACACAGTCACACTTGGTATGCCAGGTCCTTCAAAGGTTCGACCTTCAGTTCTCCTTTACACAGCCTACACCTCTGCCAGTAGATCACATGCTTTCGGCTCTAGTCCCTGATGAGTCAGTTGAGCCTAGTGGTCCGCACGCCCACAAGGTGGGTTGCCCCATGTACCTGATGACTTGCACTTGTCCAGATCTCGCATACCCTCTTAGTATCCTAGCTCGCTTTGTGGCGACAGGCAGACACCGACCCCAGCACTGGTCGACCGTTAAGAGGATTTTGTGTTATCTAGCAAGTACATCGGGCATGGGGCTAGTGCTGGGAGGACGCAGGCCAGTGGTTATCACACAGCACATAGACGCTTCGTGGGCGGATGACGCTGGTCCTCCTAGGGCTACTTCTTTTGCCTTGGTGTAGGCGCTATCTTGTGGAGGTCCACCCGCTCGTCGTCTGTTGTGTAGTCTAGCTATGAGGCTGAAATCTACGCTGGTGCCATGACGGCGCAGGAGCTCCGCTAGCTGAAGTTTTTGCTCAAAGACTTAGTTGAGTAGCCTAGCTCTGCCCCGGTCCTGTACGGTGACAATAGGGCCATGATCCTCCTGTGTCAGGAGCCTCAACTAGAGGGCAGAGTGAAGCACATTCAGCTGCGGTACTTCCTCCTGCGCGAGCTACAGCAGCGCCGCCAGGCCCGCGTAATACACTTGGCCTCCGGTGCCAACACAGCTGATATCGTTTCTAAGGCGCTTACGTCTAAAGGTCATTAGCGGCACTATGTACATCTTGGTATAGTTCCAGTAGTTTTACACTTGCTAGGACCCTGATCGTGTACTACTCTTTATATTATCTTGACTGGCCTTGTGGCTCTTGTTCCAGTGGCTGGAATAGTAGCACCACCCTGGGTTACTCTTATTTAGTTTGTTCTCTCACTGACTGGTCTTCAGACCCTTGCCTTAGAGTTTGGTCTAGTAGTACCACCCTGAGTTGCGTGTCTCTTGCTAGGCACTGCCCTTTGTCTAACCTAAGGAGTGTATCAACTTATATATATTAGTTGTTATATGCTGGATAAGTGCATGCTCTTAGAGAGTACAACACCAAAGCATAAGAACCCTTGTATGCCCTTGTCTAGTTCACTTCATTACGCTAACAAGTTGCAGCCGATTCCGCCGTCTGAGCACACGTGGCAGCAGGTGACGAAGGATTTCGTCGGGGGATTTCCTGCCAAGGACGGCTGTAATGACGCGATATTTGTCGTCGTTGATAAGCTGACAAAGATGGCCCACTTCGCCGCCTGCAAGAAAAGCATCTCAGCCAAAGAAACAGCCCGCCTCTTCATCTCAACCGTCGTTCGCCTCTACGGAATCCCATTTCCCATCATCTCAGATCGTGACACAAAATTTACCAGTAACTTTTGGCGCAACCTTTGGGGGAACAGTTTGGCACGTGCATGCAATTCTCCTCCGCCTACCACCTTGAGAATGACGGACAGATCGAACGGGCCAATCAGACAATAGAGCAGCTGATTCGCGCCACCTGCGATGACGTGGCCGATTGGGAGCAGCAAATGCCACTGATTGAGCTCGCGTATAATAACTCCCCGTCAGCCACTACACGGCAGTTACCATTCTACATGAACTACGGGCAGAACCCTACAGTACCGATTATGCCCAACATCGAAAATACAGTACCACGAGCCCAACAGTTCGCCGAAATATAACAAAATGCCCGGAAGCGAGCTGCCAAAGCCATTAAGTGCGCAAATGTTATTTCTAAGCGCAATGCAATTTTACACCGACGAGCAGTAACTTACCAGGCTTGAGACTTAGTACTGCTCGACACCTGGAACCTTCGATTGCCCATCGTCCCAAAACTCCGCCCCCGCTACTATGGACCATTCACCATCAGCCACATGATATCTTCTATTACAACCCATCCACTGTTACCAGCCACATGGAACGTCAGCCCATCATTCCACGTGCGATTACTTCGACCATACATCACCAACACCAGTAAATTACCACGTTACCGAGCGAATCTGAACATCCGACCGCTCGCCGAGCCTACTGTCGAACTTGCGAATGTTCTCAGCCATTGGATCAAAGAACCTCGAAGGGCTCGCCTGGTCGAGTTTCTGATATCCGGGAAGGACCGGACGGCCCTGGAAAATAGTTGGGTGCCCCTAGCACAGATCGAGAATTACCCGGTGTTACGAGTCTACCTCCAGTCACGCAATGCGCGCGACGTCGGCAGTCTTAACTAAGACCATACCTTGGAGGGGGGAGGGTGGAAGGAAATGGTATTTCCTTATTACAGGTTTTAATCAATAAGGCGTACACTGCTATAACGGGATTGCCGCGCAGCTTTGCCACGAAATTCAAATCGTGATCCCAAATGTGGCCTCCTGACGAACCGCATACATTGTTGCCCGCCTTGCTGTTGCATGCCTAGATCTGGGTGCTCCACGCCATTTTACGAACCACACGTCGCAGCTCTGCCAAGCCACGACCGTGGGCTCCTAGGCTAGCTATATCCATGCTCCCTACTGTTTTGATGTTGCCTAAGTTGTATTGTTTCCTTGCTAATCAATCCTTCGACACACGCTCTTTGCGCTTCATTACAATTTCTGATAAGTGACATCGTTTTTTGGTTACGCTTGATGGGTGTTTCAGCGGAGAACGTTTGAATATTGTGACAGACCCCTGCGGAGTCGCATTTTTCCCGCGCTTTTTCCTTGCATCTTCTCCTGACATGGTGGGCTCTCGTCCCCTGCCAAGTTTTTGCCAGGTGCAACCAATGAGGCGGTCTTGGGGACTCACCGACTGTCGAACCGAAACCAGACCTTCCCGAGCCAAACCATCCATGACCCCCCCCATGCATCCGCCCTGTGCACTTGCGAGGCAACAGCATTCTTTTTTTTCTGGCTCCATCCATGGGGATGCCATTTCAGTTCCGTTGACCGTCGTCAGTGCAGGCATTCCCTGAGTTTCGTTTCCTAGAATCAGGATACAGCCTGCCTGACGAGGAGCTAAACGCAGCAGCTATCGGACATTCCTTCAGCATTACCAATGGTGTCATAGCTTTCGTAGATAAGTAGCCACTGCGCGCGCGTTTTGACGCTAATTGGCGTCCAGAGTTTTCGTTTTTTACGATTTCCTTGCCCGCATTAGTTAGTCTGTTCGGATCAGATTCTTGGGTAAGCTGAGGCTTGCTCTTGATCCAGTATTGAACTAGATTATGCAGCTGACCAGACACCCTTACTACTAATCTAAAGACTAAAACCATGGGGTTGGAAGATTACCACGTGATAGAACTAGTAGGCGAGGGTTCGTTCGGCAAGGTCTACAAGGGGCGACGAAAGTTCACTGGTCAGGTGAGGAGAGTCGTCAGCACGCTTCAGTACGAATCAGACGTTCCTGGGTTACCTGGATCTCCACTCACCTTTCTGGCTCCTGCTGTCGCCGCAGATGACGGCGATGAAATTCATTCTGAAGCACGGGAAGAGCGAGAGGGACATCAAGAACCTGCGTCAGGAGATCGAGGTACAGCCGCTTCCGCTTGCGCTTCCGTTACTTGCTGTGCCGTATTTCGATCAGGACATCTCAGCACATTTCGAATCTGACTGTCACCCGCTAATAAGCCTTTAACGCGTACATTCCTTCTGGTTTTTTGGTTCCCGTTGCCCTCTCCGCCATCTCGGATCAGATTCTCCGGAAGCTGAAACACGAGAACATCATCGAGATGCTCGATGCCTTCGAGACCCCGCAGGAGTTCTGCGTCGTTACGGAGTTCGCACAGGTGAGAATCCCTCCCTCCCAGCCTCCCTCCCAGCCTCCCTCCCGGCCTCCCTCCCGGCCTCCCTCCCGGCCTCCCTCCCGGCCTCCCTCCCGACCTCCCTCCCAGCCTCCCCCTCACCGTCGTCTCCTTCCCATGGATTTCTGCGGCATCATTCCAGCTTCCAGGAGTTCTGCGTTATGGCGGAGTTCGCGCAGGTGAGGCACCCTCCCTCCGTTCCGCCATCCCAGCCTCCCTCCCACAGCACCGCCTTCGTTCCGAGATGCCGTGCTCGATCCTGATGACGTTCCCCCCTTCAAGTTTCTTCCTGATCCAGCACGTGCCTCCTCTCTTTCCTCTTCGCTGCCGTCCCCGTTCCATTGTCCTGCCAGGGCGAGCTGTTCGAGATTCTGCAGAATGACCAGGCGTTACCCGAGTCCCAAGTCCAGGTCATTGCGAAGCAGCTGGTAAGCAAACTGACAAGCAGTAACGAGCAGCCTGTACCGTTCCAAGCCCCTGCAGGACTGTAAGCCCTACACCCCACTGGATAGCTGCTTATCCCTCCCTTACCCGCTTCCCCTCCCCAATATCCCCTTTTCGTGACACCTCCCCCCTTCTCCCTGCGCCAAACGAGTCAGGTCCGCGAGCTGTACTACCTGCACTCGATCCGCATCATCCCTCGCGACATGAAGCACCTGATCAGTCTGGCGGGCACCCATCCCCTCCCCAGCCTCAACCCCTTCCCCATTCCCCATGTCCCCTTTTCCCTTCGCCCACGAGTCAGGTGCGCGCGCTGTACTACCTGCACTCGAACCGCATCATCCATCGCGACATGAAGCCGCAGAACATCCTGGTGGGCGCGGGCGGCATCATCAAGCTCTGCGACTTCGGCTTCGCACGCGCCATGTCGTGCAACACCATGGTGCTCACGTCCATCAAAGGTGAGCCATGTCGTGCAACACCATGGTGCTCACGTCCATCAAAGGTGAGCCATGTCGTGCAACACCATGGTGCTCACGTCCATCAAAGGTGAGCCATGTCGTGCAACACCATGGTGCTCACGTCCATCAAAGGTGAGCCATGTCGTGCAACACCATGGTGCTCACGTCCATCAAAGGTGAGCCATGTCGTGCAACACCATGGTGCTCACGTCCATCAAAGGTGAGCCATGTCGTGCAACACCATGGTGCTCACGTCCATCAAAGGTGAGCCATGTCGTGCAACACCATGGTGCTCACGTCCATCAAAGGTGAGCCATGTCGTGCAACATCATGGTGCTCACTTCCATCAAAGGTGAGCCATGTCGTGCAACACCATGGTGCTCACGTCCATCAAAGGTGAGCCATGTCGTGCAACACCATGGTGCTCACTTCCATCAAAGGTGAGCCATGTCGTGCAACACCATGGTGCTCACGTCCATCAAAGGTGAGCCATGTCGTGCAACACCATGGTGCTCACGTCCATCAAAGGTGAGCCATGTCGTGCAACACCATGGTGCTCACGTCCATCAAAGGTGAGCCAAGCAGTGCAATGCAACGCCATGGTGCAGGAGCAAGCTTGGAGATGAAAGTACCCCTGATCACCCACCCCTTCCTCCTCCCGCCTCCGTTCCCTTGCCTTGCAGGCACGCCCCTGTACATGGCGCCGGAGCTGGTGCAGGAGCTTGTTAGAGGCTCCTTTGAGCGTCCTCTATCACCCACTCCTTCCTTTCCTCTACTCTCATGCAGGCACGCCCCTGTACATGGCGCCGGAGCTGGTGCAGGAGCTTGTTAGAGGCTCCTTTGAGCGTCCTCTATCACCCACTCCTTCCTTTCCTCTACTCTCATGCAGGCACGCCCCTGTACATGGCGCCGGAGCTGGTGCAGGAGCTTGTTAGAGGCTCCTTTGAGCGTCCTCTATCACCCACTCCTTCCTTTCCTCTACTCTCATGCAGGCACGCCCCTGTACATGGCGCCGGAGCTGGTGCAGGAGCTTGTTAGAGGCTCCTTTGAGCGTCCTCTATCACCCATTCCTTCCTTTCCTCTACTCTCATGCAGGCACGCCCCTGTACATGGCGCCGGAGCTGGTGCAGGAGCTTGTTAGAGGCTCCTTTGAGCGTCCTCTATCACCCATTCCTTCCTTTCCTCTACTCTCATGCAGGCACGCCCCTGTACATGGCGCCGGAGCTGGTGCAGGAGCAGCCGTACAACCACACGGTGGACCTGTGGTCGCTGGGCGTCATCCTGTACGAGCTGTACGTGGGGCAGCCGCCCTTCTACACCAACTCCATCTACACGCTCATCAACCACATCATCAAGGCAAGCGCTGAACATAGCAGTTAGAACCTTCTCTTGGGGTTCCTTAAGAGGCAGCCGCCCTTGTACACCAACTCCAGCTACACGCTCATCAACCACATCATCAAGGCAAGCTACGAGACTGCTGATTCACACAATCAAGGCAAGCTACGAGACTGCTGATTCACACAATCAAGGCAAGCTACGAGACTGCTGATTCACACAATCAAGGCAAGCTACGAGACTGCTGATTCACACAATCAAGGCAAGCTACGAGACTGCTGATTCACACAATCAAGGCAAGCTACGAGACTGCTGATTCACACAATCAAGGCAAGCTACGAGACTGCTGATTCACACAATCAAGGCAAGCTACGAGACTGCTGATTCACACAATCAAGGCAAGCTACGAGACTGCTGATTCACACAATCAAGGCAAGCTACGAGACTGCTGATTCACACAATCAAGGCAAGCTACGAGACTGCTGATTCACACAATCAAGGCACGCTACGAGACTGCTGATTCACACAATCAAGGCAAGCTACGAGACTGCTGATTCACACAATCAAGGCAAGCTACGAGACTGCTGATTCACACAATCAAGGCAAGCTACGAGACTGCTGATTCACACAATCAAGGCAAGCTACGAGACTGCTGATTCACACAATCAAGGCAAGCTACGAGACTGCTGATTCACACAATCAAGGCAAGCTACGAGACTGCTGATTCACACAATCAAGGCAAGCTACGAGACTGCTGATTCACACAATCAAGGCAAGCTACGAGACTGCTGATTCACACAATCAAGGCAAGCTACGAGACTGCTGATTCACACAATCAAGGCAAGCTACGAGACTGCTGATTCACACAATCAAGGCAAGCTACGAGACTGCTGATTCACACAATCAAGGCAAGCTACGAGACTGCTGATTCACACAATCAAGGCAAGCTACGAGACTGCTGATTCACACAATCAAGGCAAGCTACGAGACTGCTGATTCACACAATCAAGGCAAGCTACGAGACTGCTGATTCACACAATCAAGGCAAGCTACGAGACTGCTGATTCACACAATCAAGGCAAGCTACGAGACTGCTGATTCACACAATCAAGGCAAGCTACGAGACTGCTGATTCACACAATCAAGGCAAGCTACGAGACTGCTGATTCACACAATCAAGGCAAGCTACGAGACTGCTGATTCACACAATCAAGGCAAGCTACGAGACTGCTGATTCACACAATCAAGGCAAGCTACGAGACTGCTGATTCACACAATCAAGGCAAGCTACGAGACTGCTGATTCACACAATCAAGGCAAGCTACGAGACTGCTGATTCACACAATCAAGGCAAGCTACGAGACTGCTGATTCACACAATCAAGGCAAGCTACGAGACTGCTGATTCACACAATCAAGGCAAGCTACGAGACTGCTGATTCACACAATCAAGGCAAGCTACGAGACTGCTGATTCACACAATCAAGGCAAGCTACGAGACTGCTGATTCACACAATCAAGGCAAGCTACGAGACTGCTGATTCACACAATCAAGGCAAGCTACGAGACTGCTGATTCACACAATCAAGGCAAGCTACGAGACTGCTGATTCACACAATCAAGGCAAGCTACGAGACTGCTGATTCACACAATCAAGGCAAGCTACGAGACTGCTGATTCACACAATCAAGGCAAGCTACGAGACTGCTGATTCACACAATCAAGGCAAGCTACGAGACTGCTGATTCACACAATCAAGGCAAGCTACGAGACTGCTGATTCACACAATCAAGGCAAGCTACGAGACTGCTGATTCACACAATCAAGGCAAGCTACGAGACTGCTGATTCACACAATCAAGGCAAGCTACGAGACTGCTGATTCACACAATCAAGGCAAGCTACGAGACTGCTGATTCACACAATCAAGGCAAGCTACGAGACTGCTGATTCACACAATCAAGGCAAGCTACGAGACTGCTGATTCACACAATCAAGGCAAGCTACGAGACTGCTGATTCACACAATCAAGGCAAGCTACGAGACTGCTGATTCACACAATCAAGGCAAGCTACGAGACTGCTGATTCACACAATCAAGGCAAGCTACGAGACTGCTGATTCACACAATCAAGGCAAGCTACGAGACTGCTGATTCACACAATCAAGGCAAGCTACGAGACTGCTGATTCACACAATCAAGGCAAGCTACGAGACTGCTGATTCACACAATCAAGGCAAGCTACGAGACTGCTGATTCACACAATCAAGGCACGCTACGAGACTGCTGATTCACACAATCAAGGCAAGCTACGAGACTGCTGATTCACACAATCAAGGCAAGACCTACAAATCAAGGCAAGCTACGAGACTGCTGATTCACACAATCAAGGCAAGCTACGAGACTGCTGATTCACACAATCAAGGCAAGCTACGAGACTGCTGATTCACACAATCAAGGCAAGCTACGAGACTGCTGATTCACACAATCAAGGCAAGCTACGAGACTGCTGATTCACACAATCAAGGCAAGCTACGAGACTGCTGATTCACACAATCAAGGCAAGCTACGAGACTGCTGATTCACACAATCAAGGCAAGCTACGAGACTGCTGATTCACACAATCAAGGCAAGCTACGAGACTGCTGATTCACACAATCAAGGCAAGCTACGAGACTGCTGATTCACACAATCAAGGCAAGCTACGAGACTGCTGATTCACACAATCAAGGCAAGCTACGAGACTGCTGATTCACACAATCAAGGCAAGCTACGAGACTGCTGATTCACACAATCAAGGCAAGCTACGAGACTGCTGATTCACACAATCAAGGCAAGCTACGAGACTGCTGATTCACACAATCAAGGCAAGCTACGAGACTGCTGATTCACACAATCAAGGCAAGCTACGAGACTGCTGATTCACACAATCAAGGCAAGCTACGAGACTGCTGATTCACACAATCAAGGCAAGCTACGAGACTGCTGATTCACACAATCAAGGCAAGCTACGAGACTGCTGATTCACACAATCAAGGCAAGCTACGAGACTGCTGATTCACACAATCAAGGCAAGCTACGAGACTGCTGATTCACACAATCAAGGCAAGCTACGAGACTGCTGATTCACACAATCAAGGCAAGCTACGAGACTGCTGATTCACACAATCAAGGCAAGCTACGAGACTGCTGATTCACACAATCAAGGCAAGGGCTGAACGGAGTAGCTTGGCTCAAATCCTGAGGCGCCTTAAAAGCAGCCGCCCCTGTACTCCAACCCCGCCTGCACGCTCATCAACCACGTCATCAAGGCAAGCTACGAGACTGCTAATTAACCACAGCATCCAGGCAAGCGCTGAGAGGAGTAGTTAGACATCACTCTTGAGGCGCCTGGAAAGGCAGCCGCCCTTGTGCACCAACTCCGTCTACACGCTCATCAACCACATCATCAAGGCAAGCAACGAGACTGCTTATTAACGTTTAACCAAATCATCAAGGCAAGCCTTGGGAATGCCGTTCTTACCGGTTGATTTTTTCTATTCTCCATTCTGAGGGCCTCTCACCCCTTTGCTCGTCTTCACCTTTCTCCCCCTCACGAATCTGCATTCTCTCCCAAACCCCCTCCTCAGGACCCGGTGAAGTACCCCGACGCCATGAGCGCGAGCTTCAAGCACTTCCTGCGCGGGCTGCTGAACAAGACCCCGCAGAGCCGCCTCACGTGGCCCGCGCTCCTGGAGCACCCCTTCGTCAAGGAGACCGCCGAGGAGATCCAGGCGCGGGTAAGGGGATGGAGACGTATGGCTGATTGCTGACGGTAGGGCAGAGGCCTGCGTATCTTACTGTTGATCTTGGCTACGGAGTGATGTGTTGTGTGTCAATCCCTGGCTCATGCTTGTACGCGTGCTGCACTGGGCTGTGCATGATGATGGCGATGGCAATAACAGGAGGAGAGAGCGCAGAAGGCGATGGAGCGAGCGTGCAGGGCAGCATGGCATGCGAGGGCCAGCACCTTCCTCCCCCACCCGCTCATGCCCTCAGCAGCCAAAGAAAACGCCAGCGCTCCACCAGGTGAGTGCCAGATGCTCTGCACGGTCAGCTATGAGCATACGCCCAACCTGTTGATTTTGTTTGTCAAACGTGGCAACCGTTGGGTCGTCGCTGTGAATGTTCAACTATTCGTTTGTATTGTGTGGCAATGCTTGACCTTCAACTCGGTCCTCTGCTTGCATCCACCACACACGCCCCTACTTGATCCCACCAGACGCCAAGGTGGCGCCAGCAGCAGGAGGCACAACCCCCGTGCCATGCCCCCCGGGCAAGAAGGCCCGTGAGCTGCCCCTGCGCAACATAGAGGCTCGCGCCACCCCCCAGAACCTCATGCAGACCAAGACCCCCGCCCAGCCTGCACACCCCGCACAGCAGCAGCAGCAGCAGCAGCAGACACAGGAGCAGCAGCGGCAACCGCAGCAGCAGCAGCAGAGGCAGCAGGGGGAGGAGGGGCCGAGAGGGGCGAGAGCAGCACGGGCAGCAGAGGAGATGCCGCCGCCTGCACAGCCGCCAGCCACAGGGAAGAGCCGGCTGCTGAGGCGCCTGGAGGTCATCCGATCATTCCTCTCTAAGGCTCCCTCTGCATCCCCGTGAGTCTCCAATACTCCCTGCCCTCACTGCTGGCTCACAGTGTCGGGCGTCTCCTCACGACGCACGTAATCACTCCTGACACATGTGCACCACTGCGATGAGGAATGTGCTCGTGCGTTCTCGGCTGGGGAATGAGGAATGTGCTCGTGCGTTCTGGGCTGGGCCCCACTTTCCTCGCATTCCCTTTCCGCCCCCCACAGTGACTCGGTAGCAGCAGCTCAGAACGCCCTGCTCTCCCTCGCCTCCCTAGTCACCGACCGCCAGCCCTCCGACCCTCCTCTGGACGTGCGCTGCCTGCACTACGACGTGCTCCCCGCCGTCCTATCCCTGCTCGACACGTGTCTCACGGATAGATCCGCCCGTCTGCAGTCTCTGCTGTGCCCCGCCCTGGCCCTGCTGCGCTGCGCCTTCGCCCTCCGCGCCTCTTATGCCTCCCATGCGGGGAAGGAAAAGGAGGGGCAGGGCAAGGGGAGAGGGACAGGTGGAGGGGGAAAGAAGATCGAGGAGGGGGAGTGGGATCGGGAGACGGAGGGGGCTTTCCTGGAGAATGCACTCTCGTTTGTCAAGACATACCCCAAGGTGTGCCATCTGTCTGTGCGCGTGCTTTTCTCATAAGCTGTTCTCTTGCCGTCAACACCCTGTCATCTCAAACATCCATTTTTCCCTTATGCGTTCTCTTCCTTCCCTTTCCAATCCTTCCTCTTTCCCCACCCTCCCTTCCGCTTCCACCTTCCCTCCCTCCCTGTGTGCGCAGCTCTTGGAGGGGCCAGCCCAGCAGTCAGCCCAGGCATGCCACCTCGCCACCGCCTCTCTCACCCTCCTCCTCGCCGCCTCCTCTGCTGCCGTCCGCGCAGCCTGCCTCCCCGGCCCCTCTCCCGCCACCCCCACCGCCACTGCCCCACCTTCCACCGGCTCACAGCGACAGCAGAAACAGGGGGGTAGCACTAGGGACAGGAACGCACGGGGCACACAGGGAGCAGCAGCAGCAGCAGGAGGAGGAGGAGGTAGAGGAGGGACAGGAGCAGGGCCGGGCAGTGTGAGCTATGTTGATACCGAGATTCTGACCTGTGCGCAGGCAGCAGGTGTGACAGAACACATGGCGCGCTGCATCGCTCTCTCAGGGAAGGGGCTTTCTTCTGCTGCCCGGGAGCATGACAGAGGGGGCGGACGAGGGGGGACTGCTGCCCGAGGTGCCGGCCGGGCAGCTGAAAAGATTGACCCAGAGGAGGTGGGGGAGTGGCAGCAGGCGAGTCTGCAGGCGTTGCTGGGGATCTGGGCAGCTGTGGAAGGAATGGAGGCAGCCAATGGGGAGTGGAGCAGTGGGGACAGAAAGGGGTTCCCTCTGGCAGTAATGCTCGGCACTGCTCCAGGGTGGGAGGGCGTGGAAGGGATAGGGAAGAAGGGAGGGAAGCTGAGGAGGGCGCTAGGAGAGAAGCTAGAGAAGGGGAGGTTTGTGGGAGAGAGGCTTCTGCGGCGAGTAGTAGAGGTGATTATAGGGAATGGAGCGAGCGCGAGCGCGGCTATAGCTGCGGCGTTAGAGATGGTGGAAGGGAATGATGTGCTGCTTCCGAGACTGCTGCAGCTGCTGCTGCGCTGCTGCCTCTTCTCCCCCTCCTTCTGCTGCTTTATCGCCCGTGCCCCCATCCCTAATGCTCCTTTCCCCGGCCATGATGGGAGTATTGTGTCTGGAGGGGGATCTGACTCCCTCCTTGCTCCCATCTTCTCCCTCCTCCACTCCTCCCACACTCCCTCTCCCGCTGCTATGGACGACGTGCTTCAATGCAGCGTCCAGGCGGCGTTGGCTTGTCTGGTAGTGGCTGCTGTGGCGGAGGGGTTAGGGTTGAGGGGTCTCCAGGGCGGCAAGTGGGTGCTGACGTCAGACTCTCAGGTGCAGGAAGCCAGGCTGGCAGTTCTAGGGAGACTGGCAGGGGAAGGTGGATTAGGGGAAGGTGCACCTGCAACTGAGGGCAGGGATGGGAGAGAGGGAGGAAGAGCTGGTGTCGCAGCTGGTGGTAGAGCGAGAGGAGCGAGGAGCGAAGCACAGCAGCAGCAGCAGCAGCAGGGGGTGGGGCCGGGGCGGCCGTCAGCAGCAGCAGCGGCGCTGGCCATGGCAGTAATTATGGAGCTCGAGCTAGCGCAGTCAGGGGAGCGACGGGGCTCCTTTGGAGGCGGGTCGTGGGGAGGCAGCAGGGCGTCGTTTGGCGGGACCCCTGGGGGCGGCCTAGCAGACGGGTCCGACTCTTCAAACATATCCGATCTGGTCCTGAAGCACCTCCCTTCCCTTGCTCTCATCTCCTCTAAGCTCCGAGTCTCTCACACTCTGACCTACTCTAAAGCCACAGAGGGTTTTGGGGTGTGTAATGGAGGGTGGGGGGAGCTGTGGGGGGGCGCGGGGAGGGTGGTGGGGCGGTGGCACGGCGTGAGGGACGGGTATGTGGGCATGCTCACTGTCTCTCTGCGCCTGGGGGGCCCTCAGGCGGTAGAGAAGGCGCTAGCGGATGGGCTGCTGGTGTCTATGATGAGTGTGCTAGGGGGAGGCGCGGGAGGGGGGAAAGGAGGAGGCGGAGGGGGGAGGGGCGGAGTTGGGGAGGCGGTTGAGGGGGAGAGGGCGGCGTGGGTGGCGGGGGGGAGGGGGTGCTCGCCTCCGGACCACGTGGGGCTGTCTCCTACGGGCGTCATGTGGCTGCTGGCGGGCCTCTACATGTGTCTGCCTGGTGCGTACGCCCCTTCAATCCGCTGTTCGTGTACCTTGAATGAACGACACTCTCGTGGCCTTTCACGTGCTCTTCTCTCCCCCAACCGCCACCCCACTCGTCGCCATCCCCCCTTCACGCTCTCTCAACCAGTCTCTCCCCGTCCCCACTCGTCCCCTGACTCCGCCTCCCCCACACTCCCTCCCCCTCTCCCCCTCTCTCCCCACGCTTTCCCCCTCCCCTCCACCCCCCCCCCCCTTTCCAGCTGGTGGTTACAGAGACGCCCTCATAGGCCCTGACCCCATCGACATCCTTCTGAAGCTTCTCGGAACCTTCCACCTGGCGCACCTGCAGGCGTGGGACAACAGCCAGGGCGGACCGTGGGGAGAGATGCAGCTGGCGCAGGGGGGGGAGGGCGGAAGGGGGGGCGCAGAGGGCGCTGGGAGAGGCGGGGGAGGTGGGCGAGGGGGAGGGGCAGGGGAGGTCGGGCAGTTGTGGGGGGAAGCAGGGTGGGTGATGGAGGGTAGTCTAGAGGGGGTGGCGCAGCCGCTGTCACTGGATATGGTGGTGGAGCTGGTGTGTGGGGTAGTAGACGTGCTGCTCTTCCCCTTCCATGCTGTCGTCGCAGGGGACGCCATCGGGGGAGCCAGCAGTGCAGGCGCCACCAGTGTTGCCCCTGCTGCTTCGGGAGTTAGTGGGGCGGCGGGCGGCAGCAGCGGCAGGTCGGGTGGCAGTGGGGGGGAGATGGACGAGCTGTCACGGGCGCTGCTGGTGCTGCAGCCTCAGTACCTGCAGATGCTGCAGGAGGTGCGTGGGGGGTGCAGGAGGTGCGTGGGCGGTGCAGGAGGTGCGTGGGCGGTGCAGGAGGTGCGTGGGGGGTGCTGGAGATGGGTGCAGATGTTGCATGAGGTGGGTGCGGTTGACTTGATACTATCGGCTCCATCAACCTGCTCTCCCATATCGACCCCATCATTTCATAATACCTGCCTTCCGCTCCTCTTCCCTTGTCCCCGCCCGCCTGCCAGTCCACAGCCATCCCTACACTCCTGGCATCTCTGCAGGTCCTCCAGGGTCCCACCCTCATTGGCCCCATCAACCTGCCCTCGTGCATTGCCCACCACTCATGATTGCCCTAACACCCCCCACCCACTTGCCCATCTTCACCCACTCCTAGTCCCCAGCCATCCCCACGCTGCTGTCCTCCCTGCAGGTCCTCCAGGGCCCCACCCTCATCGGCCCCATCAACCTGCTCTCGCGCGTGGCGCACCACCCATGATAGTTGCCCTCCCTCATTTGCTTTCCCCTCTCCTTTCCCTCCCCACCCCCAGTCCCCGGCCATCCCCACACTGCTCTCATCTCTACAAGTCCTCCAGGGCCCCACACTCATCGGCCCCATCAACCTGCTCTCGCGCGTGGCGCACCACTCGCCCGCGGCTGCGGCGCTCTTTGTGCGGCACGGGGGGCTGGACCCCGGGCTCATGGGGAAGCTCTTCGGCATGGAGGAGCCAGAGGAGGGCGAGGGGGAGGAGGCCGGGGGAGCGGAGGGCGAGGAGGGGCAGGGTATGTGATGGAGGTGGTGATGGATGTTCTGCTCATTGTCTCGCACCTCTCTAGGCTCTCTGAGGTACGTTTATGCGCCTGGAAGGATCATGCATCCTATCATGACTGGTGCAGGGGGACGGCGAGGCAGGGCAGGGGTATGTGATGGAGGTGTTTCTGGCTCTGAGGCACCTATCACTTGGAGGGCAGGTGCCTCAACACTACTGACTCCTGCCTCTCACATCCGCACCCCTTTCCCCCGCCAGGACTACTACGAGCCCATCGCAACAGCTGACATCTACGGCGCGCTGGAGGTGTTCCTTGCTCACCCCGATGCTGGCGTGCGCTCCAAGGCCTGCAATGCTGTGGGCAACATGTGCCGCCACTCCGCCTACTTCTACCCCATCATGGTGCGCCTTGGGTCCCCTCAATAGGCATGGCGTGGCAGGGCATTGCATGGCAAGGCATTGCATGGCATGGCATGGCATATGATGTGAAGTGATGGGACCCAAGGCCTGCAATGCCGAGGGCAACATGTGCCGCCACTCTGCCTACTCCTACCACAACATGGTGCATCCATGGGGAGGCACCGCCTGCCACCCGCCGCAGCCATTGCTAATGGCAATGGCAATGATGGCTATGGCAATAATGGCAATGACAATGGTGCTGGCGACAATGATGGCACTGACAATTACGGCAATGACAATCATGGCAATCGCCACGGCAACGGCAATGAGGCTGCCAGAGAACTGGACCAGCAAGCATACAGGACGTCATTGATCTCTAGTCCGCTCACATGCTGACCCGCTCTCCCGCTCTCCCGCTCACCCGCTCGACCCCTCACCCGCTCACCCGATCTCCCTCTCACCCGCTCACCCGCTCACCCGCTCACCCGCTCTCCCGCTCTCCCGCTCACCCGCTCACCCCCTCATCCCCTCACCCGCTCACCCGCTCACCCGCTCACCGCTCTCCTGCTCTCCCGCTGTCCCGCTCACCCGCTCACCGCTCTCCTCCTCACCCGCACACCCGCTCACCCGCTCACCCCCTCACCCGCTCACCCGCTCTCCCCCTCACCCGCTCACCCACTCACCCGCTCACCCGCTCTCCCGCTCTTCCGCTCACCCGCTCACCCGCTCAACCACTCACCCGCTCACCCGCTCTCCCGCTCTCCCGCTCTCCGCTCTCCCGCTCACCCGCTCACCCCCTCACCCCTCACCCGCTCTCCCGCTCACCCCTCACCCCTCTCCCGCTCACCCCTCACCCCTCACCCGCTCACCCCTCACCCGCTCTCCCGCTCACCCGCTCACCCGCTCACCCCCTCACCCGCTCACCTGCTCACCCGCTCTCCCGCTCACCCCGCACCCGCTCACTCGTCTCCCGCTCACCCGCTCACCTGCTCACCCGCCGCTCACCTGCTCTCCCGCTCTCCCGCTCACCCGCTCACTCGCTCACCCGCTCACCCGCTCTCCCGCTCACCCCCCCACCCGCTCACTCGTCTCCCGCTCACCCGCTCACCCGCTCACCTGCTCACCCGCCCGCTCACCCGCTCTCCCGCTCTCCCGCTCACCCGCTCACCCGCTCTCCCGCTCTTCCGCTCTCCCGCTCTCCCGCTCTCCCGCTCACCCGCTCACGCGCTCACCCGCTCACCCGCTCACCCGCTCACCCCCTCACCCCCTCACCCCTCACCCGCTCACCCGCTCACCCGCTCTCCCGCTCACCCCCTCACCCACTGACCCGCTCACGCGCTCACCCGCTCACCCGCTCTCCCGCTCACCCGCTCACCCGCTCACCTGCTCACCCGCCTGCTCACCCGCTCTCCCGCTCTCCCGCTCACCCGCTCACCTGCTCACCCGCCTGCTCACCCGCTCTCCCGCTCTTCCGCTCTCCCGCTCTCCCGCTCTCCCGCTCTCCCGCTCACCCGCTCACCCGCTCACCCACTCACCCACTCTCCCGCTCACCCCTCACCCGCTCTCCCGCTCTCCCGCTCACCCGCTCACCCGCTCTCCCGCTCTCCCGCTCACCAGCTCTTCCGCTCCCCCGCTCACCGCTCTCCCGCTCACCCCCTCACCCGCTGACCCGCTCACGCGCTCACCCGCTCACCCGCTCTCCCGCTCTCCCCCGCACCCGCTCACTCGTCTCCCGCTCACCCGCTCACCTGCTCACCCGCCGCTCTCCCGCTCTCCCGCTCTCCCGCTCACCCGCTCACCCGCTCTCCCGCTCTTCCGCTCTCCCGCTCTCCCGCTCTCCCGCTCTCCCGCTCTCCCGCTCTCCCGCTCTCCCGCTCTCCCGCTCACCCGCTCACCCGCTCACCCGCTCACCCGCTCTCCCGCTCACCCGCTCTCCCGCTCTCCCGCTCACCCGCTCACCCGCTCTCCCGCTCACCCGCTCACCCGCTCACCCTCTGTCCCGCTCACGCGCTCACCCGCTCACCCTTCCTCCCCTTTGCTCGTCCACTGCAGGTAGACTCGGGGATTCTGTCTCGCCTGATAGAGTGCTGTGCTGACCACGACAGAAACACGCGCAAGTTCGCCTGCTTCGCTGTGAGTGCCCCAATGCACCGCCATCGCATCCTCGCTTCTGTATCAAGGCAGTTTCAGTTGATTGGCGTGCCCATGTCTGTGCTACGTTCTGCTCTCTCTCGCTTTGTTCCCTCTCCATGTTGTCCTCTCACTGCATTGTAATTCCTCCCCCCTCCCAACAGATCAGCAATGCAGCGTATCGCTGTATGCCACCCTGCGGCCGGTCATTGCTGTGCTGCGGCAGCGGACAGCGGCTCCCCCAGGGGCTCCTTTCTCACTTCTCCCTCTCGCTGCATCATCTCTTCTTCCCCAACAACAGATTGGCAATGCAGCATACCACAACAGTTCGCTTTATGGCGCCCTTCGCCCGGTCATCCCACACCTGGCAGTGCTGCTAGCAGCCGACAGCGGGCCGCCTAGCAGTAGCGACGACAGATCAAGGCCAATGCTGCCGGCGCGCTGGGCAACATGGTGCGCAACTCAGGGGAGCTTTGCCAAGACCTCATCTCACAAGGGGCGCTGCAGGTGAACATATAGTGGTGAAGGGAGGGGGTGGTAGGGGGGGGAGTGGAGGGGGTGGGTGTGTTTTGAAAGTCACTTGGCAACATGCTGTGTAACTCAGGGGAGCTCTGACAAGACCTCATCTCATAAGGGGCGCTGCTGGTGAGCATGGGAAGGGGAATGGGTCCGAAGTCTTGTGGGGTGTATTCACTTCTGGGAAATTCAGAAGTTCTGTTGGACGCCAAAGGTTACTACACTTGTGTAAACTTGTCTGATCAGTTGCTTCCTTTATTCTCTGCATTTCAGGCTTTGGTGGATTTGGTTGTAACTGGAACCAGCCAACAACCTTCACGGAGAGAGGGAGGGGAGTCTCAATCACCTGTAAAGATTGCCTTGTTTTCCCTCGGCAACATGTGCTCACATTCTGTGTGCCGCGAGTACCTCCGGTCGATAGACATCTTCCGCATCCTACACAGACTCAAGCGATCAGGAGACATGACAATAGTGAAGTATGCCACTCGCATTCTTAGCAAGTTTCCTGAAATGCGAGCACACTAGTGCCTTCCTAAGGCAATAGGCCGTATTCATAGTGCCATTCTAAGGCTTGAAGTGAAAGGGTCAGTTCAGTTTAGAAGTGTTCTTTCTTATTCTATCAGAGCTTTTGTCTATCTTTAGAGTTACACGTTCTTAGCTCCCACCCCTCAGGGTTGACTTGCAACAGGTCGAACAGAGCGCAAATCGAACCTTACTTAGCGACAGCTGGAGCCTCTCAACCAATCGGCAGGCCTCGTCGAGTCGATCGCACGCTATTGTGACGTTCCATCGCCCTATTGCGTTTCAGTTCTGCAGGTCAAACTCCTGGCTGCACGACAGTTTGCTACGTGCGACACGGTGATCGAAACGCGAATGCGATGCGATGCGACCCTCTGGACAGTCGTTCACATCGCCTAGGTTCCTCAACTCATCCAGTCGTGTCGGAACCATCTTTTCTAATTTGCGCCACTTCGTTACTAACGTCAGCACAGCCACTTCACGACTAATAACAGTCTCCGACCTTTCCGCTTTCACGCGTGTGTCCGTACGAAAGGACTGTTCGAAAGCGGAGCGAAACCTGAAACCCTCCATTCCCCGACCGTACTTCTGAGCTGGACTCGGCGGTCGTGTCGCGCTGCCGTGACTGGACCGTGGGCTCGCGACACAACACGACGCCGCGCCACGAGCTGTTCCGAGTCGGAGTCATGACAGCCCGTCGTCACTCCGACTTCCGTACGTCTCTCCGTCGTAGTCCTCATTTTGGACAACATTCCGGACAACGGTTCGAGTTCGTTCGGCCCCTACAGTAGGCTGACAGACATAGTCCAAAGGATTATTTGTAATAATATTGTCTTTCCACCTTTCCGATGGCGATCTCCGCAAAACCGTTTCGCCTAACACCGCCAGCTCTGCTCCGCCTCCCCTCCCGCGCCCTCGTTCTGCTGATCGCGGCCGTCCATCTCATGCCCTGGGAGTGCCGCGCTGCGATCCACTTCGAGTCGGCCTCAGATTCCGCGTCGTTAGCGCCACAGGGCCTCAGGGGACGACGGCTGGTCGGCACCGAGTCGGACGCCGTTGCTCCTGCCAGCTCCGCCGCGAGCAGCGGCGCTAGGGTCGCGCTTTCCGCGGATCAGGCGCGAGGACAAGCGTCGATTACTGGCGTTACGACCACTAATCGCGTGGATGTGAAGTGCGCGCTAGCTCGCAGCAAGTTCGGTGCGATCTACACGTTCGGCGACTCGCTCGCTGACGTAGGCAACAACAACTATGGCCGCGGGGAAAGCTTTTACCGCGCGGATTTTCCTCCCTACGGGATGAATTTCATCCCGCTAGTGGCAGGTTCAGTGACGGGAAACTCGTCATTGACTATCTGTGTGAGTTACAAGATCCTTCCATTCAATTCGACGAGCAAGAAGCGTGAAAACGCCACGAACAGCTTGGGTGAATAGAGTTATTCACCGTGACGCACCCATCAGCATTCATATCCCTTCTCAATGTGTCCCTGCTCTTATTCTCCTTCAGCGGATCATTTCCAGCTGCCCGCCGCCCTGCAGCCTTCCACCCTGGCATCAACGGCAGTGCCGCCCAAGCAGGGCTCAACTTCGCCAGCTCAGGGCGGGTGTACTGGACAGCACGAATGCGGGGAAGGTGAGACCTGAAATCGGGCAGATGAGACTCAGACGAAGCTACCACTGGTAGCAGGTGATAGCTGAAAGTTAAGTGCCAGTTAAGTGGTGACGTTCTAACACCTTTTAAACACTTCCCAGACCCTGAACACCCAGTCAACCCCTGAACACCCAATCAACCCCTGAACACCCAGTCAACCCTTGAACACCCAGTCAACCCCTGAACACCCAGTCAACCCCTGAACACTGAACCCTGAACCCTCAACCCTTTCTTCCCACACGCGTGCATGGCTCTGCCTGCAGGCCTTCCCACTCTCCTCCCAGCTGTCGCGATTCTCAGAGCTAGGCGGCCTGGAGGCAGCAAACCAGGTCAGTGCCATGGCTCGAGGTTTAGGGTTCTGGGATTTAGTTTGTATACACAGTATTGATAAACTTATGGATCCCCATTTACACACACACACACACTCTCTCACTCTCACTCTCTCTCTCTCTCTCTTTCTCTCTCCTGTTTGCACCCTTCTGCTGCTGCAATCAGCAGTCCCCCGACCCGCCGCTCGCCCTTGTGTCGATCGCCACCAACGACTATCTCGTGTTCCTCTCCAAGGGAATCAACCTGGGCCGTTGGATGGACCCCAGAGAGCAGATACGACTGGCTGAGATCCTTCCACAGGCGCAGGAGCTGATTGCCAGTGTGGTCGGGGGGATCAGCAACGCTGTACGGGTGAGAACGGCCACGGCCCCATGGGTAGAGATCTGGCTGGTTATGTGTGCGGCATGTACGAGACAAATGGACTTACTGTTGAGTTCAATGTGCCTTCTTTCTCAAGTCCCCCCCCCCCTTCTCTCCCCCTAAACGTTGTCGCCGTAGTGCCCACTGGTAGGCTGATAGCCCCCTTATCTAGTGACCTTGCCACACTTATCGTGCCCAAGACTTTCTCTTCCCACCTTCGCCACACCCTTCCCCGCCTCACTCACACAGACACTTCACGCGTCGGGCTTCCGTCATTTCCTTGTGTTTGACACCCTGCCTATCGGCTGCACCCCCTTGGCCTCGCAACCGTTGCTGAATCGTCTGGCTGGCATTCAAACGAGCCAGCCCCCTCGCAGTGTGATCTTGCAGTGAATCTGCTTACAGCGGATCATGGTGCCGCTCTGGCACTGGCATTAGATGCTTTAAGAGATGAGCTTGCAGATGCTACAGTAGTGTATGCAAGAATGCACTCGCTTATTGTGGCGATTACAGAGAGACCAGGGGACTATGGGTTGAATGTGGGACATCTGCCTGTTGCGGTGCCCCTGCTCCTATCAACGGACTCGTGCAATGTGGAACGTCCATCTTCATATCTAACGGCACACAATCCTCGACCCCCGCCACACTGTGCGACGACAGCCAATCGCGCGCCTTCTGGGACTTCGTGCATCCTGGCCAGGCAGCCAATCAAGTGGTGGCTCGAACTCTATTCTGTGCGCTGCAAGCAGGGGTGTGTGATGATGATCTGCTTAGGTTCGCCAACAGAAGAGATTGTCAAAGCTGATTCACTGGTCGGTACTGTCAACTTATACATATTATCTATGTAGAAGTTATAGGCTAGACTGAGGTATGCTTCTAGTGAGTACAACCAACTAGTATTTGTTCTAGGTTTCCACCTCTAGTAATCATTCGTTTCTACGTTAACATGGTATCACGCTTAGGTTAGGATCCCCCCGCCTACCGCTTCCGCCCGTCGCGCCTCCTAGGCCCCGTCGCGCCCCCTAGGCCCCGTCGCGCCCCCCTGGGCCCCGTCGCGCTCGTTAGGCCCCGTCGCGCCCCCCTGGGCCCCGTCGTGCCCGCTGGGCCCCGTCGCGCCTCCTAGGCCCCGTCGCGCTCCCCCTGGGCCCCGTCGCGCCCACTGGGTCCCGTCGCGACCCCTAGGCCCTAACGCGCCCCCGCTGGGCCCCGTTGCGCCTCCTAGGCCCCGTCGCGCCCCCCATGGGCCCCGTCGAGCCCGCTGAGCCCCGTCGTGCCTCCTAGGCATCGTCGCGCCTCCTAAGCCCCGTCGCGTCCCCCTCTCTGGGCCCCGTCGCGCCCGTTCGGCCCCGTCGCGCCCTCCTAGGCCCCGTCGCGCCCGCTGGGCCCCTTCGCGCTTCCGAGGCCCCGTCGCGCCTGCTAGGCCCCGTCGCGCCCCCCCTGGGCCCCGTCGCGCCCGTTAGGCCCCGTCGCGGCCCCCCTGGGCCCCGTCGTGCCCGCTGGTCCCCATCGCGCCTCCGCGGCCCCGTCGCGCCCCCCCTGGGCCCCGTCGTGCCCGCTGGGCCCCGTCGCGCCCCTTAGGCCCCGTCGCGCCCGCTGGCCCCTGTCGCGCCTGCTGTTAGCGCTCGCCCGCCTGGCCTCCTCCTAGTGCCGCTCGGCCTCCTCCTAGTGCCGCCCGGCCTCCTCCTAGTGTCGCCCGGCCTCCTCCTAGTGCCGCCCGGCCCCTTCCTAGCGCCGCCCGGCCTCTCCTCAGCGCTGCCCGGCCCCTCCTCGTGCCCGACCGGCCCCAGCAGCACCAGCCTGGCCCCTCCCAGCACCAGCCCGGCCCTAGAGCACCTGCCCGCCTCCCCTGCTCGGCCTGCCGTGTCCTCTCGGGCCCTGTGTCTTCTGCTTGCCTGCGCTGGGACGCCTAGCTGCTGCCCTACTGGAGAGTGCTGCCGCCGTGTCCCCGCGCCGCTGTGCTCCTGTGCCGCTGAGGAGCTGTGCTGCTGTGCCACTGTGTCGCTGAGGAGCTGTGCCGCTGACCCTGCACGATGGCTGACTTTGTGCTCCGCCTGGACGCTGAGGGCCACGCGGTTGACTTCGCCGCCTGGCTCTCCGATCTTCGCCGCCAGCTTACAGGTCAGCGCCAGGATGGCCACTCTCTGGTTGTCCATGCTGATGGCTTGCTCCCCCGTCCCCCTGCACCTACTCCCCTCCCTGCTGACCCCTCCTCTGATGACCGTGAGGCTTTCTCTACTGCTGCGCTAGCCTGTGCGGTCTGGGACTCACGCGATGCAGTAGCTCAGGTTGCTATTAGTCACGCCCTCCCTGTGTCTGAGCGCTCGCGTTTTGCTACTGTTGAAACGGCCAAAACTTATTTAGACGCCGTTATTGCTCGCTATTCCACCCCTGCCTCCGCTTCTGCTGGCCGCTTGCTCTTTCCGATGCTGTTCCCAGACCTGGCTGCCTTCCCTACTGTCGCAGATTTTGCCACTCATTTGCGTGCCCTAGAGACTCGCTATCGCACTGCCAGCACTGCTGCCCAGCTCACTGCGCTCCCCCCTCCTTTCTGCATGACGCTCTATTTTATCGCTATGCGCCTGCCAGACCGCCTCGCTAGTGCTCGCGACCACTTTCTTAGCCAGCACCCGGGTGACCTCACCCTGACCGCCTTTGTCGACACCCTCACTGAGATCGAGACTCGCCAGCGCACTATCGCTCAGTCGAGCGGTGCGCCGGCAGTCTCTATCTTTCACGGTTGTGCCCCATCCCCGTGCACGTTCACTGACGTTTCGGCTGCGGTCGCCACGGCGACCCCTCTTACCGAGACGGCTGCTGCTGTCCACCCGCAGCAGCGCTCGCGTCGCGGTGGCCGTGGCCGCCAGGGAGGTAGGGGTGGTGACGCAGGTGGTAGTGGTCGTGGTGGTGGTGACGGTAGTCCGCCTGAGGGGACTACCACCGGTGGGCAGGAGCAGCAGTCCCAGCAGCAGCAGGACCAGCCCCAGCCGCAGCCGCCGTCCCAGCAGCACCCGCCGCAGCCGTGGGCTCGTCTCCCGCCTGGTTGGCCCGGCACCTCCGGAGGCGGTGGCCGTGGTGGCGGCCCGCGCAGCTTGGCGTCTACCAGCGGCTCCAGTGCTGTGACCTGCCAGTACCAGCTTCAGACCGGGCCTCTCCGCGGCACTCTGTGCCGCCGCCCGCACCCGACCGCCCACTGTTTCCGCCGCCTCGACGATCTTTTTCGTCGTCGCTTTGGCCCGGCCCCGGACCTCCCTGACTGGCACAGCCTGCTCCGCCAGGGCGTGCCGATCTTTGAGTTAGACATGGATCAGATAGGTGCTGCTTTGCATGCTTTGTATGCTGACGCTTCTAGTGTTGATGGATCTTACTACCATGTGTACTCTAGTTTAGGTGTTTCACCCTTGTGTAGCTTAGCTTCCCCTGCTGCGACAGGCGTAGGACTGCCTAGGTTGCCTAGTCTAGTCGCTGCACCGGCTCCGTCCGCGGCCTCCGCCACTGCGTCGCTGTCCTTCACTCTCGACTCTGGTGCTTCTGCCTGCTTCTTCCGCGACCGTTCCACGCTCACGCCGCTTGCTGCACCTGCTGTTGTCTCTCTCGCTGACCCCTCTGCGGGTCCGGTCGTCGCGCGCAGTACTACGTCCCTTCCCTGTCCGGCAGTTCCCTCGGGCTCCCTTACTGGCCTCCACGTTCCCTCGTTCTCCAGGAACCTGGTTGGTGTCGGCTGTCTCCAGGACCTCGGCGTCACCACCACGTTCCCCGGGCACGAGCGGTTCGCTGTCTGTTCTGAGGCTGTCTCAGGTTCCCCCCTTGCGACGTTCCCCCGGGACCCAGTGTCCGGTCTGTTTACCCTACACACCGCTTCCCCCCGGTTGGTGCGTCCTCCCAGGTCGCTGCAGCTTGCTCGTGTCGGTCCCTCACTCACCCGTCCCTTCTCTGGCACCACCGCTTAGGTCACCCTGCTCTCCCGCGTCTGCGTCACATGTCCCAGCACGGTCTTGTCTTAGGTCTCCCCGCGTCGCTCCCTGCCCTTCCTCCCTCGACTGCGCCACCGTGCACGCCTTGCGTCGAGGGTCGGCTCCGCCGTGCTCCTCACTCCTCCTCGCTGCGTCCTGCTACTGCCCCCCTTCAGACCCTGCACTTGGACGTTTGGGGCCCTGCCCCCGTCCCCGGACCGCGCGGTGAGCGCTACTTCCTTGTGCTCGTTGACGACTACACGCGCTACACCACGGTGTTTCCCCTGGAGCGGAAGGCCGACGTGCCCGACGTTCTTCTCCCGTGGGTTGTAGCTGCGCGTCTCCACCGCGGTCTCCCCGTGTTGTGTCTCCACTCCGACCGTGGCGGCGAGTTCGCCTCTGGTCGGCTTGGACAGTTCTGTCGTGCGGAGGGCATCACCCAGTCGTACACCTTGCCGGACTCGCCACAGCAGAATGGGGTTGCTGAGCGCCGCATCGGCTTGGTCATGGAGGTCGCCCGTACCTCCATGATCCATGCCGATGCCCCCCATTTTCTGTGGCCGTTCGCTGTTCGCTACGCGGCTCACCAGCTTAACCTGTGGCCACGCTCCCAGCGGCCGCAGGTTTCGCCGACCCTCCTTTGGACCGGGTCCCCCGGTGACGCGTCTGCGTTCCACGTCTGGGGCTGCCTTGCTCACGTTCGTGCCTCTGGCACGGACAAGCTCACTGCCCGCACTGTCCCCTGTGTCTTCCTCGGTTTCCCCCTGGACTCGTCTGACTGGCTTTTCTACCACCCGCCGTCTCACCGCTTCCTCCACTCTCGTGACGTCACCTTTGACGAGTCCGTCTCCTTCTACCGCCGGTTCCCTCACCGAGGTCTCCCAGTTGCCCCCCCCTTTTCCTTGCTCCCTCTCCCCCGGTAGCCCCTGCCCCTCTCCCGCCTCGTCCTGCCCCGTCTGGTGTCTCCCACGTCACTCCCCTCCCGTCGGTTGTCCCCGTTGAGGAGTCTGCTGACTCTGGTGGTACCCCCGGTCCGTCCTTGCCGCGTCCCCCTTCCCCAGTGCCTCCGCCCCCACTGTCGCAGTCGCCGACCCCGCTGCCGCCGCCGTCGCCGTCGCCGCCGCAGCCGTCGCCGCTGTCGCCGCCACTGCCGCCGCTGCTCTCGGCCCCTGGGGGTGCTGGTGTGGAGGAGGGTGTTCGTCCTGCGGCTTCTGGGGGTGCCGCTGGTGTTGGAGGGGGTTCTCGCTCTTGGGGTGTTGGTTCTGGGGGTGCTGCTGTTGAGTGTTCTGCCGACGGTCGTTCTGCCTCTGCTGGTCCGAGAGTTCCGGCCCAGCCGTCGTCGCCGCCACAGCAGCCGTCGCCGCCGGTTTCCGCTCTCCGCCTGCTCGGCCTTCCCTCCCCGGACCGCGCGCCGGTGTCTCCCCCACCGCCTCCTGACCTCCCTGTCTACGGTCCTGTGTTCCCGCCGCCAGACTCGTCTCCGGCCCGTCTTCCTCCTCGTTCCCCTCCTGTGTCTCCTCCGCTGTCCCCTGACCCTACCCCTCCGTCTCACGTTTGGGCTCGCCGTCCCTCCCGTGCCCGTCCCGTCTCTCCTGTCCTGCCCACCCACCCTATGTTGCTCCGTTCCCACTCGTCTCGTCCTCCCCTCCTCCCGTCCCCTCCTCCCTCGTCCCTTGCTGTTGCACCTCCTCCGTTCTCTGACTACCTCCGTGCTGCTCGTCCCCTTGTCCCTCGGGTCCTTGCCTCTCTTGTTACCGACCCTGCTGTTCCTGTCTCGCGCCTTGACGCGCTTGTCGCTGCTGTCGCTGACTTCGCTTCTACCCGCCGCCTTGACTACGCTACCGCTCTGGTCTCTGACCCTGCCCGTCCTCTGTCCGTCGGGGGTGCTCCTGCCCTTGGCAGTGACGTCCTAGAGGACAGGCAGTACGAGCTGGCTTTCCTTTCCGAGGCTGCTCCCCATCTCTGCTCCATGCTG